AACAAAAGACTCCAGTGAATTCTTTTCAAGGAGCTGATATGTGTATCTTAAGACTTGTGGTTTTCACTTTGCCTTGTCATTCTTTATAAGGGCAGTTTTTGGAGACTTCCCATCTCCCTTTTAGTCAAGTGCCAGTTGGGAGTGAAGGTGGGGCTGGGAGGGACACACCCAGGCACAGTATGAGGTACTGAGCTGAGCTGATTGTGTGGGATGCACACGTTCTTTTTGTTTTGTTTTTTCCCCTTCTCCTTCAAGGCACAACATCTAACTTTTTTTTTAAGTAGAGTAAAAATAAAATAGAAGCCACTTTTATTCTCTGGGCAAATGAACATGTTGGCATTAAGTTAGAATCTGGGGTTCCTTGAAGATTGGCCTTAACATTCTCTAACCCATCTCCTGTTTCTACCTAATTACAAGTCTTCACATGGTTGTCTTTATCTGCCCTCAGCCGTGTGGGCTGAGTGCTGTGTACAGGGCAGGAGGCTGTCTGAATTACGGGGACATGCTCAAACCATGTTTTCAACCGTGGGTGATGATCCCTAAGGATCATCCAAGGAACCTGAAAGCCTCATGAGGCTTCAGACTACTCCCCCAAAACAGTTAAATGGAAGCAGATGGCAGTGTTTCTTCTAATGGGTGGCGGGGGGCCGGAAATCGCAAGCTAGAGGCTGCTGTCCGCCCCAGACAGTGAAGGGCTCTTTTGATCTTTTCTCAGCTTTCCAATGCCTTGCTGCTGATCCAGACCCAAGGTTTGTATTCTAGTCTCACAGTTTATCCACCAAGAGCCCTATTGAACATACCATCTTCATCCTTCATTTTCTCAAATCTATTTCTCTGGACCTTGTGTTTCTCAGTCTCCCAAATAGGCCTTTCAATTTATAGTCATCTCTGAATGATGCAGGTGAAACATTGCCTCACTGATTAAATGCTGATGTGAATACCAACAGTAAGAGAACCTGGAGATTATGAGGCCAGCAGTCCCAGCACTCAGGGAGGCAGAGGCAGGCGGATCTCTGTGACTTTGAGGCCAGCCTGGTCTACAAAGCGAGTCCAGGACAGCCAACGCTACACAGAGAAACCCTGTCTCAAAAACCAAGCAAACAACCAGCCAAACAAACAGGCCAAGGCACTCTCTGAAAGGCCTCTAAAGTTCATACGGGACTATTTAGGGGACCTTGGACTAACACATTAAGTTTTAACTTTTGTTTAAGATACAGATCTTTTGTCTTCTATTGTGTGACTTTTCCTTGACAGATGTGGACAAATGTCTACTCTTTCCAGATAGGGCACCAAGAACAGACTAAAGAAATGATCCCACTCATGTGTAGGTTGGTGGAATGAGTTTGCTGGGGTCACCTATAGGATCGTGGCTGAGGAGTTGCTTACAGGTGCTTGGGTGATCCGGGGCAGCTGCTTCAGTGGTTCACTCTGCCCAATTGTACGCTGCTCCGTGGACTCACCATCTCTTCCAAAGTAACCGCTTAGTGATATGCAGCCCAGGAACGGGTTTCTCAAGTCTTGTGAGTTTTGCTAGCTTCCCTAGGCTTTGAGCCTTCATCCTCCCTCTAGGAGGAAATGTTTCAATTTACAAGAACAGAGACACAACACCTTTTTATTCAGCGGCTTTGACCATTTTAAGGCACGAACACTTTTAAAAATCTAGGGCAAGGTATAAAGACACCCCCCCCCCAGGAAAATCCTGTGTAAGCACACACTCATCTTATTGCCTTCAGCACAGTGGACCGGCTCACAATTTTGTTGTTGTTATTCTCGGTTGACTCAAGGCTATCAGAAAAAGAAGCTTTAAAAATATGTTTATATTTGTGTGTGGGTTTGTTTGTGTGGTCGTGCTGATTAGGAGGGCTTGTGGGATGTGGTTCTTTCCTTCCACCCTGTGGGGCTCAGGGATAGAACTCAGGTCATCAGGCTTACCCAATGAGCCATCTTACTGGCCCTCAAAGTTTTTTTTAAATGAAGAGGATTTAAAAAAAAAAAAAGAAAAAGAAAAAGAAGCCATAGTGTGAGTGAGGTCTTCTGTCAGGGGTCCTGGGCCTAAAGGGACGAGGCTGAACAACAGGTGGAACCCCAGTTTTCTCGCGGGGCTAGAAAAGGGTAAAACCATTCCAAGGTGGACTGCGGGGTCTATTGCCAAAATGACCACTAGATGGCACCACATCACCAACTAATTTTCTCATTTTGGTGCATGTATTTCATGGCCAGATGTAGGAAAACAAAAGGGCTGCAGGATTGGTCCGATGATGATGATGATGATGGGTGATGATTGATGAAGAATTGTTATTGTTTTTGACTATTATAAAAATACAAACTAGAGATAAAGGATAGGTAAGACGGGTTTGCTCTAAAAGGAACGGTCAGGAGTTACCTGAAGAAAAGATAAAGAGTCGGACCTGACCCAGCATTCCCATCTACCCTGTAAATACATCTCAGTTTTCAGCATTCTGAGATTTTTCTCTCTCTGGGAGAAGTGGCATTGGCATTTCAGGTTTCTAAAGAAAAGCATACAATACCATGTAACTCACTTTACCAAGACCCCAACATCTATGTGAAACCAGGGTTGTCCTTTCAATAAGAGCACATTAGCTACATATTTCTTTAATATTTTTAAAAGATTTATGTTTTATTATTTGTACAGTATTCTTCCTACATGCCAGAAGAGGGCACCAGATCTCATTATAGATAACTGAGCCAATGTAGTTGCTGGGAATTGAACTCAGGACCTTTGGAATAACAGCCAGGGCTCTTAACCTCTGAGACATCTCTTCAGCCCCATCTTTAATGTGTGTGTGTGTGTGTGTGTGTGTGTGTGTGTGTGTGTGTGATTGAAGTATATTTGATTCAAGTTCTCATTTATTTTTAAGTTTCTTTTTCTTTTTCCTTTTAAAATTCACTGCTCAAGGAACTTCATATATGTATTGTGTTAGCTAAGTTTTTACTCTGAAAAACACTATGGCTCGAGAGCAACCAGGGAGGGAAGGGTTTGTTTTGGTGCACGGCTATGGTCCACCATGAAAGGAGGTCGAGGCAAGACTTCTGAGTGGGAACCTGGAGTCAGGCCCTGAAACAGAGGCCTGCTCTCCCTGGTCCTGTTGGTTTGCTTGCTTAGAGGCCCCAAGACTACCTGCCCACTCACGGGGGGCTGGCCCTCCCACGTCAGTCAGCAAGCAAGAAAATGCCCCACCGGCTTGCCCACAGGCCAGTCTATTTTCGGCAAGTGTTTTCACCTGAGGTTCCTGCTTCTTAGATGGCTCTCGCTGGTGTCAGCTTGGCAAAACCCAACCAACCAGACAAACGAAAACCAAACCAAACCAGCATATAGTTTGACTGAAGCCACCTCCTCGTCTGCACCTCCACGTCCTCTCCTCTTCTCCCACCACTTCCCTCCCAGCTTTCCGAGGTTCTTTAAAACCCACCGACTCCGCAGCGCTGCGGATGTGCTCATCTGCTGGGCCATCCACGGGAGCCCAGCCGCGATGGATTGCTGATAGCTCTTTAGGTAGGGGTGGCAGCCACCCGGGATTCCGGCAGGCTTGTGCCCGGGCAGGTTTTGTGCATGCATTCGCTGCTGTTGTGAAGTCATGTGTGCACCGCCGCTGTTTTACCCTCGTCCCTCTGGCTCTTTCAACCCCTCTGCCCCCGCTTCTGGGATGATCCCCGAGGGTCGAGGGGTGTGTGTGCTGTAGACGGCTGATTCACAGCTTCGTGAGTACTTTCATCCTCCATCAAGGTGCATAAGCCTTTGGCCACTACGAAAGCTAGCCAGTACATCCATATAATTGGATCAGCCAGGAGGGAGGAAGTGGCCAGGTCTGCACCAGCGTGGTTTCTCCATGTCCTGCGATTTGATTATGTGGTGTCCTCGGCAGTAGGCTCTTAGCATCAAGCTCTGCCAATAACAATGGAAGTAGCTTATGTTGTGAGGGGATCTGTGGGACCCCATTGACCACAGTAATGGGTCTTATTTTCTCGTGTTTCTTATTCTGTTAAGGCTCTGCCACCCGGTAAGCAACATCTGTTAGGTCACGCATGTTATATCTAGCCCTGGTCAAATATTTATAAATAAACACACACACACACACACACACACACACACACACACACACACAATTGTATTATGTAAGGCAACTGATGCCAGTAGACAGGAGAGCACCACAGACAGGGAAGCCCGGAAGGTTTTGCTGCCCACTCTCACCAACATGACATATGACAGAGCATACCTAAGCAAGCCCACGCCATGTGAACGACCTCACAGACTGGGGTACAAACTCCCAGCACTGAGTATAGTGTTTGCCACTGAGTTTCCAGCTCCTCTCCCAGCCCTGCCCTGCTTCCAATCCTTGATGTGTGGTTTCTCTTAGTATAAACTGTTTCTGCTTCTGCTGCAATCCGTGTGTCCAGAGCAATTATTGTCCTGGAGCACAGGGACCTGGAAATCCCAGCGGGCGCTCACCACGCTCCCGTATCTACAGCTACCGTTACTATGTTCTTCGACATGAAATATCCATTAGCATGGTGTCTTGTCATTAAAAGGTGAATACAATGGTTCTGTTCAAAGATTTAAGAGTGAACCAATTCTGTCTGGGAGAATTCAGCAACTATTGTGAAATCGGTGTACATCGTTGCTTTGATTCTAAGGTCTTGGAAGTGAATAAGCCTAGAAGGGAAGGGAGCCTATTCCCGCCGCTATGAGTTACAAGCACATCTCTGACATAGTGTGGTGACACCACCCGCTCCAGAGGAGTCGCTCTCTGGGGAGGAAATGCCTTGAGTACAGGCCGCCTGCGTGGGCCAACCCAAGGAGGAAGTCCTCAGCTTTGGGAAGTGAGCTAGGCCCCGGAGTATCACAGGGTGGGGCTGTGCTGTGAAAGATGTTGGCCCAGAACCACCAACACCTGAGAGGGATGGAGGCGAGGCGCGTGCGTGGTCCCCATGGTATGAACCGAGGTCCCTGCTTTTCAGATTGCTGCTCTTTTTGTCTGCAGGTCTACAACCTGAAGGGGTACTGGGCAAAGCTGAGCTCCAAGCTGGAGTACATTAAGTATACGAAGCCTCACCTACACTACCACAACAGTGTTGTGAGGAGAGAGTGGCACAACTTGCTCTCCGAGGAGGTGAGCTGAGCGCAGCTAGCAGTAGAGACTGAGGGAGACCGGAAGGCAGGCGGGCTCACGCTGGCTGTGCTTCCCCCCCTCCCCCCCCATCACCAGCTGCATTCCCTCGGTGACAGCCCAGTGGGCAGGCAGGACTGACTGCTCCTGCTGCCTGTTCTTGGAGGAGGAAATTGGAGTAAGGGAAGTGAAGGGGCACGTGGCTCTCTCGTAATAGAAGAGCAATGAACAGCGCATCTCAGGTGCTGTCAGGTGACTCGAATGGCGCAGGGTTTATTCAGAAAGAGGTAGGAGTTCCCCAGCTCGTGTTTGCTGAAACGATGGGGGAGAGGGGTCAGTGAGACAGCCTGTAAAGGGGTTGGTCGTACAGGGAGCACGTGTTGGCACATGGCAGTACACACAGTAAGATGGCATAGAGCTGGACACATACCGTACAATATCCATTTCCTGATTTTTATACTGCAGTATAGTTACGTTAGATAAAAACATTAATGGAAACAGGGTGGCGGGTACCTAGGACCCCTGTACTACTGTTGTATAGAGTCCCAGGCTTCCTATAATTATGTTGTTTGATAATAAAGTTTAATTAAAAACAGATGCTCTTGTTAACACAGGAAACGATATTATTTTTGAAGCCTTTAACGACATCGCTGTTCGTTCTTGCTATTAAAACAAAAGCTACTTGCGAAATTTTCACCTTCTGTATTCTTGGCATGTTCTCACCCCTAGAAAACGGGGAAAAGAAGGAGCACAATGTACGTGAGGAACATTCTTGACAGCGCAGTGAAGTAAGTACAAGCTTGGCTGCGCTTGTGGTATTCTCTCAGTGAACGGCTGTCCTTGGCTTCCTGAGACCACTGGGGGCTGGATTTTCTAGTGGGAAAGGCTTCTAGGTAAATCCTCCTTAGGCCCTGGAAAAGATGACTTATGATGGACAGGCGGTAAAGAAGGCTTTTATTAATGAGTACTTCTGAGGATGGAAGTAGATTGTAGGTTGATTTTTTTTTAAGTTGTTGGTGGAGCCTGCTCTTGTTTTGAAAGCATATTTTCTGGGTAGATGAGTCATCTCCGAGAGCTAAAAGTGTAGGCCTCGTTCCAACCTCTGTTCTATTTTCTGCCTTCATTATTTCCAATAATGGAGAACTGCAGTTTTTCTAAATAATTGCTGTTGTTGGCACTAATGGGCTTTGAGATTTGTAACTGCTTGATGCACCTTTTGGTACGGTGATTAAAGTTTCTGAGTTTTCAGGCAGCCAGAAAGCAGTTTCTGCAGTGGTTTTTCTGGGGCTTCAAAGTGGGGTCATCTCTGTGGAGTTTTGTGGCTCCAAGTTTTTCAAATGATGCTTCCCTTGTCAATAACACACATTTTCTTTGCAGGGTGATTTCCAACATGGAAAAAAGGATACTGGGTAAGAAAAGACCTGTCTTAAAGTCCATGTTTTGTTTGCAACATTGTTCTTTGGAACCAAGGGTTGACAGGAAAACCACTTCCAGTAGTATAATGAGGGTTTAATGGATAGTAACAGCTCTTAACATCAGCCTGTCAGAGTAACCACGAAGCCAGTTCCATGTCTGTCATAACACCAGGACCTCCAGGGTCAGCTGCTGAGTGTGTTTTGCTGAAGGAGCGCCTGGGTTTTCTGGTTTTCTGGTTTTCCCCTTTGGTCCTCACAGAGCTGATCTAATTAGCACGACCTCTGGCTGTACCCGCAGGGCGTGCTTGGCCGTTCCCTCGCATGAGCTGCCTTCTCTGCAGCTGTGTGACTTGTACGTGCCTTTCATTTGGCTCACATCGGGTCATGGCCTGGGCCTGCTCCTAGGGGAGCAAAAACGGGCCTTTGGGTAAGCAGTGTGGTTCTGTGGGGTGGGTACCAGCTGAGATGGTAGAACTAGATATGCCAACCACGAGTGCCTGCACATTGTCCTCAGGGCTAGTAGGAGGGGAAAGTGAGGACAGAGGGTTCTTGTAGAGAGTAGCTAGTCACTGCCTAGTGGAGGGGACAAGGGGCATGGGCCGAGGGGACTTGATGGAGGAGAGAGCGAGCCTGGTGGAGACTTTCCAAGGCAGGTCTTGAGTGGTGGTGCATGTCTTTTAATTCCAGCACTCAGAGAGACAGATTGCTCTGAGTTCGAGGCCAGTCTGATCTGTACATCGAGTCCAGGACAGCCAACGCTACACAGAGAAACCCTGAACAAAACAAAACATAAACATGAACAATCAACCAACCGAACAAACAAAATAAAATAAAAAAATTGTCTTGACAGGCAAGGAGGGTTTGTTCTGTGGTAACTGAAGGAGGAGAATAGTGAATCTGTGTAGACCCAGGCCTTTTGGTGCTGCTCATGCTTCATGACGGCTAGCCTTCATTAAAGAAACTGTTCTTTATCTACTCCTGTTTTATGGGCTTGGATGTTTTTCAAATGTGTGGGGACCCTGATGAAAATTAACTTGGGAAATGTGTAACAGCGTACTCAACAGCTGTATACACAGCCCAGAGGTGACCTGTCACCACAGGAAACCAGCCTGAGCCCCAAGGGGGAAACCAAACCATCCTTGCCTGTAGCCAGGGACTATGCTCTACCAGACAGAGCATAAGTGTGTGAGATCCAAGGTCTTCTCCCTGCTGGGGGTAAAAGTTGTAGAGTATGGGCACTTTTGTTGCTGCCTAGGGGAGGTTTGGAGGCTCTGCCTAGTGGCAGGCCGGCCAGCATCTTGCTGGGCAGTGTCTCGAAACGTGCTTTAATTTTTTTTTCTTCCTGTCTCCTGCGTTGTTTCCCATGAAGAATGCTATCACTGCCTGAAACTGAACACTGCTCATATTGTGGTGCTTTCGTCAAAGTCCAGAGGGTTAAGCAGGTTGGAGAAAACATTTATCCTGAGGGGCCATAGCGTACCTGTGCCTGTTCAGAAGGAAGCACCAGACTGTGGGTTCTGCCCTCTTACCTGTTCTGGGGCCCTAGAGCTTCTGGGGGAAGAACCCCATGGGGGAGTTGTTAGGAGAGCCTGAGGGAGCCCAGCCTGCTTGCCTGCCCCTCCTGTCTGGTTAGTGCAGGGTCAGTCAGAGCCGGGAAGGGACATTTGGTTTAACTGTCTCACTGTTGTGCTCGTCAGCATTGTCTACCCCAGTTATTCACTGTCTCAGCAGCTCAGTAACTTTCAAGGCCACTTAACTATGGGTCAGGAGGTCAAAGGGAGTCACGTAGTCCTTCCGATGAGGCCTGCCATCCCCCGGGTTAGGTAGGCCTCTCGAGGGTAAAAAGTTGAGAACCGGCTGGTTTGGCTGTAGCCCTCTTCCTGAACACTGCCCTCCTGATGAGTGCTCCCCTGTTCAATTTCAGAGCCAAGGTTACTGCCCCTCTTACAAGAGGAAGACAGGCACCAGAGGCTGCTCATGGGCCTGGTGAGTAGTCTGTGGGCTTCTGACGTGCTGGCAAGCAGTGGTCCCAAGAAACAGCAGGCAAGGACAGAGGGCTGCTCATTCTGAGGGCATCTTCCGTGAAGTATCCAACAAGTGGGAGCTGCCAGCACCTGGGCCTGGGTATCCAGTGGCAAGCAGAGGGTGTCTGATTTCTGCAGTCTTGGGATACTCAGGCTAGTGGAGGAGACACACGAGTGTGGTTGGTCACACGAGGAAGCATGTAATCGTAAGTGGTGATGGAGGTGCATAGCTGCCTGCATTCTGCGATTCCAGACACATGTCCCTTCCTCTAGCCTTTACGTGGGTTCTTGGGATCTCAGCTCTGGTCTTCAGGTTTGTGTCACAATCGCTTTTACCCTTTGAGCCATCTCCACGGCCTGTTTTTGTTTTTTGAGTATCAAATCCACAAAGTAGTCTGTGATTGATTTATGATATTAACAAAGTTCAGGATACAGGGACTTGTCTGTCCTCATGCCACACGCTGAAAATTAGTAGAAACTATTTTGGAGGTATCTTGTTAAAGTATGAAACCCAGCCAATCCCAGTTCTAGGAATCTGACTGAAAAGTCATGGCTATAGCAGACTCCCTACCCCCACTTTACAATGACCCCCCCCCCATGAGAGGACACTATTTCTTTGGCTAACATTCATGCAAGCTTTTCTGTCAGGTGTGTGTGTGTGTGTGTATGTGTGTGTGTGTGTGTGTGGTGTTACCAACAGTAGTGAAAAAAAACATGTATAAAAAGGAAATAAATCCATTTTAGTATTTTTCACAAAAGTAAACATATCCAGCCATTAAAGCTATCATAGAAATTTTAATGACACAGGGAAACTATCACATAGAAAGAAACATTAGAACAGGTATACACTGAGAAAGGGGCCTGGGCTGAGATGTTCATGCAGGCACAGAACTATGAGCTACTTTAATTCTATATTTTATTTTGTCTATTTGTTTGAGACCTGTCTTGCGTAGCTCACTGGCCTTGAGCTCACTGTGTACCTAAGAGGGGCCGAACCTTGGATTCCTGATCCTCACTCCTTAGCCTCCCTTGCGTTAGGATTGTATGAGTGCCGTGCCAGACATTAATTTTCATTAATCTATAGGCATTGCAGAAAAGTTAAATAGCATAAAAGCATATAGCATATCTTAGAAGAAAACTTTTGAAAAAGCCAAAATGAGCTAACTCACACAAGAGGCTGAATTGAAATATGGTGACATTATGTCCTGTTGCTGAGGTCACAGAGAATCCGCTAAGATGGCAGATTTATGCATATATGATGCTCCTGTCCAGTTCTCACGAGCTGCCACCACACAAAGGTCTCTTTGGCTTAAAATCAAAACAAAAAACTTCTTGCTGAACAGGGTATTTAGACCAAAAGGAGCGCAGGAGTGGGAGGAAGAGGAAGGAAAGAAAAGGGCAAGAAGCTGGAGGGCTCAGGAAAAGCAACCACCGATGGGAGGCTAGGGCTCTGAGCAGACACAAAGCCTGGAGACACAGAGTGAATATTCATTACCTTTGCCTGTGAGCCGGCGCTGCTGTGCAGAGGGTGGTGTCTGTCTGGCAGTGTCTGTCCTTCCAGGAGTTCCTACTGCCCACTCTTGAGCACGCTCTCTGTGGAGACAGTGGAGTACTATTTCTTGATGGAGCACTTCTCTCCATGGAGTACAGTCTCTCCTTGGAGCACAACCACTCTATGGAGCATAGTCTCTCATGGAGCAGTCTCTATAGAGCACAGTCTCTGTAGAGCACAATCTCTGTAGGGCACAGTCTCTGTGGAGCACAGTCTCTCTATGGAGCACAGTCTCTCCATGGAGCACAGTCTCTCTGTGGAACACAGTCTCTCCGTGGATCCCAAAGCCTGTAACCTCGAAGCTGGAGCCTTCCACAGGCTTCCTTGGAGGAGTCTCATCAGGGCTGAATGACTCCCAGCCGCCCCTGAGCTTCGGTTAAGAAGTTCCTCCTGAGAGAAATGTTGAGGCCATCGATTTACCTCAGCCGAGGGCAGTTAAGAGTTGTGTACCTTTGGGTGGAAGGTTTTCCTCAGATCAAGGTTTTTCATGTTTGTAAGAAATATTAAGAATGTCCTGAATTAAAATCAGTCTCAGGTGTGAACGAGCCTTCTGTGACCCACCTGTGTCTGTCCTGTTTTCAGATGGTGTCTGAACTCAGAGACCACCTGCTGAGACACCTACAGGGGGTGGAAAAGAAGAAAGTTGAGCAGCTGGTTCTGGACTACATTTCAAAACTGGTTGGTGTTACTTTTTTTTTTTTTTTCCAATTTCAACTATACCTTTAGCCCAGTGTATAGTTTTCAAGGTGTAGGTCTCTGAGCCCAATGGTTGTTGTTGTTTAATGTGTGTGTGTGTGTGTGTGTGTGTGTGTATGTACATGAATGTGTGCATGAGGGGGTAGAGTGCCCATGGGCGTGTGGAGGCCAAAGGTTGACTGTGTCTTCCTCTATCACTTTTCAAAAATTAATTTATTTTTTATTAATTACAATTTATTCATTTTGTATGCCAGCTGTAGTCCCCTCCCCCATTCCCTCCCAATCCTACCCTCCCGCCCTCCCTCTTCTCCTCCCATACCCCTCCCCCAGTCCACTGATAGGGGTGGTCCTCCTCCCCTTTCCTCTGACCCTAGCCTATCAGGTCTCCTCAGGACTGGCTGCATTGTCTTCCTCTGTGGCCTGGTAAGGCTCCCCCATCAGGGGGAGGTGATCAAAGAGCTAGCCACTGAGTTCATGTCAGAGACAGCCCCTGTTCCCCTTACTAGAGAACCCACTTGGATACTGAGCTGCCATGGGCTACATCCGTGCAGGGGTTCTAGGTTATCTCCATGCATAGTCCTTGGTTGGAGTATCATTCTCAGAAAAGACCCCTGTGCCCAGATATTTTTGTTCTGCTGCTCTCCTTGTGGAGCTCCTGTCACCTCCAGGTCTTTTATCTCCCCCTTCTTTCATAAGATTCCCTGCATTCTGCCCAAAGTTTGGCATCTGCTTTGATACCCTGCTGGGTTGAGTCTTTCAGAGGCCCTCTGTGGTAGGCTTCTGTCCTGTTCCCTATTTTCTCCCTCTTCCAATGTCTATCCCATTTGCCTTTCTGAATAGGATTGACCATCTTACCCAGGGTCCTCCTTCTTGCTTAGCTTCTTTAGGTGTGCAGATTTTAGCATGTTTATCTTGTATTATATGTCAAATATCCACTTTCCATTTTAGGTTTTTGAGACAGGGTCTCTCACTGAAGCTGGATCTCTACTGTGCTGCTAGGCTGGCTGGCCAAGGGATTCCAGGAGTTCCCTGGCCTCTGCCTCTCCCCTTCCTAACCCTGAGGTTACAAACCCGAGGTGCACTGCCTGAGTTTTCACATGGTGTTTAGGGTCCAAACTAGGGTCTTCGTTGTTTTGCAAACCAGCTTATTGAGTGAGACAGTGCCCCAGCATGCTTGTCCCCACTTTGTTTTCCAGGTTAGGTCCTAAATATTTCCATCTTCAAACTGGTATATTTGGTGCTATAGGTTGAGAGATGGGAAGAAAGAACTGCAGAGAGAATTTGATGTTGAATGTGGTTTTCTGTCCTACTGTCAACTAGTTGTGGTATGCTCAATGAGGCTAGCATAGCTGCCAAGTGGTTGCGCCTCATCTTGGTAACTTCCAACTAACTCTTTATTAAACAATAAGTGTTGATTTCTGTACAGGAAGGTTTATGGACACAAGAGAGCTTGGACTTTAATTCGTAATTAGCTCTGAAAGCCAAAATAGGCCAATTTCCAGTCCAGCTCTCACTCATCTACCAATGAGATGGTAGCTCATTACCTGTTAGCCATGAATTAGACGATAGTATACAAATCATGTAAATAAAAATGGTGTGGTGATATTGGATTTCAGCCATCTGTGCACGTTCACAAATCACGTGACGCTAAGGTCTGCTTTGGTAGAACCTAGAAATAATATGCTTGACAAATCAAAATATTCAACTACAAAGAGCAAAGAGAAAGGATGCTCCATTGTTTCTCCAAGTCTGGATAAGACTTGTATGCAAATGAGACAGTTTTGTGACTCTGTGTGTGTGATAACAGAGACTTGGAATATTAAGTTTCTTGGCAAAGATCAAGGACTCTCTTCACTTAATTTTAAAGTTTTCCCCTCTTACTGTTGTCATGAGTGACTGTTTTCATATTTGGAAATCTACTGAAAGCCTTGAATTTTGTAATTTTAAAAACTATTTCTTTATTATGCATGTGGATGTCTCATATGCATGAATGTCTGTGCACCACATGCATTGCCTGGTGCCCACAGAGGCCAAAGGAGGGTGTTAGTTCCTCTGGAACTGGATATACAGATGGTTGTGAGCTGCCATGTGGGTGCTGGACACGGAACCAGCATCCTCTGGAAGAGCAGTCAGTGCTCTGACCTGCTGAGCCATATCTCCAGACCCAGTGAATTCTATACTTTTAATGCAGTAGGAAAGGTCGAACACTGTCATATGATGACATTCATAATCAGGGCATCAGAGCTTCTCTGCCTCCCTCTTGAGAGGGCTGCGGTGAGGCGTGCTTTCAGAATCTGGTACTGACCCTACCCACATTGAGAGAAGTGTTCTTAGCCACGTGTCTCTCTCTTCAAAGCCATAAGTCCTCTTTCTATCTTTTGGCTAACATTATTTTTTAAAACAAGACCATTTTTAAAGCAATCTGGTAGTGGCTCTGTTGAGTGGAGAGATGCAAGGCTGCTTGGTAGAGTTCTGGAACTTCACTGTAATGGTGGCCTTCCCGAGTCTGTAGTCTTCAGCAACGATCAAGCGTTCCTTGCATAAAACCATCTCAAACCAGCAAGACCCCATTAACAAACTTACCACTTTTAGTGTTGCTGGGAACCCAGGCATATCTCCTTCTCCAAGTAACCTTGCCTCCTTATGTCCCAAGGTCCACTTTGCGCATGCCCACCTCAATAGCCATACCTTTGGCGACTATACACGTGTTGTACATAGCGGGGATGAGGGATTTTTTTTTTCCCACACCAGCTATTGGCAGGCAATGGGCAGCTTCAGCTCGGGATGTGAGACCTGTCATACCTCAGTGGCTTTCTCTTGAAGCCATCGCCAACAAGGCTGACGTTACTGCCCACCTCTCCATGCCTCTGTTTCTCTTTTCATGTGTCTCAGTGACTTTGTCATTTGTGCTTTCTTAGCGAGGAACTGTTTGTGGTAGAGCTTAACGTTACATCCCCAAGCCCCTCCCTACCTTTTTTGAGCCTCTCTACCTTTTTTCTTTTTTTTGGTGGTAAATGCCATGGATTATGTCCACGGCATATATATATATAAAAGTTTATTTATTTTACATCCTGAGGATGCCCCCTCCTTTCCCTTCTCCCAGGCCCCCCACTTCCTCTCCTTCCCCTCTCCCTTTTCCCCCAGAAAAGGGAAGCCCTCCCCTCCCCCCACATTAACCTTTCCCAGCACATTAAATCACGTCAGGACTGAGCATATCTTCATCCCCTGAGGCCAGGCAAGGTGGAAAGGCCAGGGGGAAGTGATCCAAAAGCAGGTGACAGAATCCATGTTAGAAACAGCCCCCACCTCCACTCACTAGGTGACCCATATAGAGACCAGGTCGCCCATCAGCTACATGTGTGCAGTCCAGACCATGCATGGTCCTTAGTTGATGTCTCAGTCTCTGAAAGCCGCCATGGGACTGGGATAGTTGTCTTTGTCGGTCTTCTTGTGAGGCTTCTGTCCCCTCCATGTCCTTCCATCTTTCATCCAACACCTCCATTCTAGCATTCTCTTTCACCATACCTAATCACACGAAAGTTTTCACACTAGTTTGTGCTGATGCCTAGAGCCAAGAGGCCCAGAAATGGTGCCTGTATTGACCCCGAAGCACCATGCCCCTGACTTTCCCAGCGTGCAACCAGCCATGCCTTTTATGACTCTCCGACGACTTTGGGTAGGCCATCTTTCTGGAAACATGTTCAAGGGAGTTGTAGAGCTTGATGATGGTGTCCACATGTAGCTTGCTTTCAGCCAGAGAATCCTGTGTCACCGAGGACAGGGACTGGCTGTACATGGAGCGCCTTTCTGCCTTGCCTCCTGCTCTTCAGTTCCTGGTGGAGTCTGCCCTACTGATGAAATTAGAATAGGTTTCCAGATAAAGCCTAAGGCCAAGAAGGTACCTGATGTGGGTGGTTATGGTACTGATTTGTTGAGCACTGATTCCAGTGAGTGACTTAACTAACTCATTTTTACAACAGCCCCAGGAGAGCACTCCCCTCATCTCACAGATAAGGACACTGAGGTTTGGAGAGGATGGGTGACTTGCTCCACAGAAACTGACCCTGATGCCGTCTTTTCCCATGGCTCATGCACACGAGCCCATGTTACTCTGTCATCTTCCTTCTTCACCTAGCCCTCAGCCTTGCGGTGTGGCAGGCTGACAGCTAAGCCATTGGCTTTTCACTGGTGGGTGAGAGTCTGTACGCGTGGATGGCGGAGCCAGTTAGCTGCTCAGTGGAGCATTGCCAGCACAGACAGAGGGTACTCTGTTACAGCGGAGGCACGTTTGCAAGATTTCAGTGCCTCAGAACTGATTTCAGAGAGGCTAGCTTCACAGTGTGCCTGGACACAGCCCCAATGCCAACTGTCTTGGATGTATAGGACAGGTAGGAGGGTAAGGGCCTGAGCTGTGGTTCATGGATGCTCTTTCCCTCTAGCTCGATCTCGTTTGGTGCATGCTGGAGACCGCTTGGAGGAAACACAGTGTGCATCCTTGGCTTTTCCACCTGTACGCAAGTATTATTCTTTTTCTCCTTTATCATGGTGTGCAAAGAGCTAGGACCTCTGATGACTGCCTGTTCTAGAAAAGCCCCTTTGAAACATTAGTCCAGAGCAGTTCTCACTAGTCCCAGCGCCTTAGTCTTATATTCAGAATTCAAGGTGACTTCAGCTGTCCTCTGTGGCATAGGGTTGATGAGGAGGGAGACACGCATAAGCCCACCACTTCCAAGTATGGAAATTTCAACAAAAGTAATTTATAATTTATGAGTCTACTGAGTATGACGTGAGATTCTATGCTTTCGGCTGTTGGCCAGTCTCCCATTTCCGAGGCTCTCCCCAGGAGATAGCATTTTATAGGAAGCTCTGTATGCAGTTCTCAGAGCCACGGCTTGGGACCAGCAGGGTGCTCGGCTGACACACTACTTTGCTGTTCTCCCCCAGTAACGACCGTGGCAGTGCCGCAGATTTTGAAGTCTTTCATCTTATGACCAGGATTTTGGATGCTACTAACAGCCTGTGCTTCCCTCTGCCTCCCGGTGAGTCTTGGCTCTCCTGTCATCTGGTGTAATAAATTTGTTTCCCACCTGGTCACCAGGCAGCACCTGAACTTCAAGATGGCACCTGTGTGTCAGCAACTGGTTCGGGTAGAGTCAGCCTTGAGGTTGGTCACTGTTGGCTGGACCTCCCCCGACTAGCGAGCTCTACTGTTGAATGTTCTCACCTGCATCTCTAGCTGAACTTGTGCCAATGGTGCTGCTCCTGGGAGCTTTCCCTGGCAGCTTCATACCCTATTGACTGGAGAGGCCTGAGGTAAACACACAGGAGGAAGCGGTCTGGCTTGGAATCAAGTATTAGGCTGTAGTATTTGTCTCCTCCGTGACTGACTTTTGAAGCAGGGAAGCTAGGAAGACCTAGCGCCCTCTAGGTCCATCCGTTCGTCAGGGAGGACAGGGTGGGTATCTTTCTTTTTAAAGCTGAGTAACATTACATGGTTGGTTATTTACATTTTCTTTTCCTGTTTATCAATGGGCATTTCTATCTTGGCTATTGTGAATAGTAGTTTTAATGAACATTAGTGTGCACATCTCTTAAATATCTTGACTTTAATTCTTTTGGGTATGTACCAGAGCTTCCATTTCTCCATGTTCTTTACAACATTTGTCTCTTTTGTTTGCTTTTGGACCTTGAGAGGTCAGAGGCAATAGTTCACTGTGGTTTTGGTTTGTATTTTGCTGATTAGTGATACTGACTATCTTTCCATGTAACTCTTGGCTAGTTATATGTCTTCTTTGGGAGAAAAAAAAGCTCTGTGCAGGCATGTTTAATGAGATTGTCGTCTTGCTGTTGACTTGTTTTATTATTTTTATGTTCTAGATACTAACCCCTTATCAGACTTCTGGTTTACGCACTTTTCCTTCCTCAGTTTGTAGCTGCCTTTTCAGTTTGTTACCTTCCTTGCTTTCCTTCACCCCCTGAACCCCTCAGCACCATTTCCCCTCCCGCATTGGAGGGTCAGGTGGCTCGGGGGGTGGTTTAAACTTTTGTAGCCAACACTGGACTTGAACTTCTGAGCCTCTGACAAGCACTCTAAGTGCTGGGACCACAGGTGCTTGTCACACATCACACCTGGATTCTTCTTCTCTATCAAATGCTTATTTTTTTTTCTTGTGACAAGAGAAAGGAGGGTAAAGTGACTGTGTGTGTGTGTGTGTGTGTATGTGTGTGTGTGTGTGTGTGTGTGTGTATACAAGGGAGTTAATATATGCATGTGTAAAAGGGTGCTTGCTTTTCAGGCCTATGAGACTAGTGAAACTTGTTTAAGTTTCAGTGGTCAGACACTTAAATAAAAGAAGGGAGCGAGAAAGTGGTAAGCAGAGTTTTGGTTCTGTTTGTTTTATTTTTGTTCCTTTGTATGTTTGTCTTAATGTTTCTTTCCCTGGCCACAGCAAGGCCAGCAGCGCTGGAGGATGAGGATTGGTGGGATGAAATGATGGTTGGTGATGGCCCCCACGCTCTGCTAGGAGCTGACATAGAGCTGAGGCCATCAGCAGGCCGCTGCACTTGGTACTGTGCGATAGGGGCAGGTGAAGGGCCACTGGGCTGTTCAGCATGCACACAGGATTGGGGAAGAAATTTTGTCTGGGAATAGGACTCATGATATAGTATGAGTGCTTTTTCAGGAAAATGATTTTTTACTTTATTAGGCTCAGAAAGAAGTTCCGAGTCCATGTGAAACATTCGTGCCGATTTGTTAGTAATACCATAATTTGTGCCGCCTTGGGAGAACCCAGTGAACTCAGTCTGTTTTTAGCCCATTTAGATCTCCTTGAGGACAACATCTGCACGTCATGTGACCCCTGATGCTGCCAGCAATTAGGAATGACCCACTGCTCATGACTCATATGTTCAGAGAGAAAATGCCATGACTTCTCAGAACCCAAAACTCCAGTTCACTGAACATCATTTGTTTTGCCATGTACATCCCTGAGAGCAGGCTGTGCTTCTGTCATTCCTGCATCTGATCAGTTGTTAAGCGGGTACATATTGCCGTGAGACTCCTCCTGTGCTGGCAAGTTTTATGTCAACTTGACATAAGCTAGAGTCACCTGAGAGGAGGGAACCTCAACTGAGAAACTGCTTCTATAAGATTGGGGTGTGGGCAAGCCTGTAGGGCAGTTTCTTAATTAGTGATGAACGTGTGTGGCTCCAGTCCATTTTGGGTGGTGCCTTCCCTGGACTGCTGATCCTGGGTTTCATAAGAAAGCAGGCTGAGCAAGAAATGAGGAGCATCCCAGTAAGCAGCACCCCTCCGTGGCCTCTGCATCAGCTCCTGCCTCCAGGTTCCTGCCCTGTTTGAGTTCCTGTCCCTGGGGCCTGTGATGGTGAACTCTTTCTTCCCCAAGCTCCTTTGGTTATGGTATTTTGTCACAGAAATAGAAACCCTAACTAGGACACGGCCCTTTCTCTCCATTCCCCCTTGGTGACCCCAGTCCCTCTTGTACATGTCCAGGCCACAGTGTTCCTATGAGTCGAACCTATTCTTTGTCTGTTTGCATGTTGATATTCCAAAAGTAAAATTCAGTTCTTCCTTCATCATTCTCAAAAGCTTCCTGTGCCTCTTCAGAGTTTTCTGGATCGGTAAATTCCCTGGTAGCATCCAGCGCTGGGTCCGTGTTTCACGTACACATAGCACAGAACTGGTCACACATGAAGATGTTTATTTTCGTGACGAGCTAACTGCCAACTCGCTGCAAGGTGATCAGGAGTGGTAACGGCCACTACTTTGTCCGCTGTCCCGCCACACCCCTGTCTGGTGTGTATGGGTGGGCTGAGTGAAGTTTGTCCAAACGTACCTGTCAATCATCAGCTCTCAGCTCAAGCGATCACTCCATGCTTCCCAATACACCCGTGCTTTCTCACCGTAGGTCTCCGGTTAAACACTGAGGCTACAACCCCACAGCCCGTGTTCAGGCTACTTTAACCTATTGCTTACTATTTATAGGATACAGGGAAGTTCCTCTGCTCCTGTGAGTCTCAGTTTTCCCATCTATGAGGTGGGAATCTAGTTGCTGTATCTGATAATGTTGGATGTTGAACAAGTGAACCAGTGCTTGCTTAGAGCATGCCCGGTGTTAATCACACCGTACCGTGAGCAGGGCTCCAGAAGGAAGGATATGGGTGGTTCCACCGTAGGAATCAAGGAAGGAAGTTCAGAAAGGCCAATTACGTAGAGCTGGCGAGTTAGACAGTAGCAGGATCCTAACCCGGGTCTGCTCTGCTGTCTCTGGCATTTCAGCACACTAAGTATAGATCTCCTCCAAGACCCCCCAAATGCTGACATTCCAAACAGGGGTCTTCTTCTTTTCACCTGCTCTGTTATCTGCTTCCATGTGTCTTGCTTTTGTTCCTTGTCACTGATAGTGTGCATAGGGCTCTGAGACTAGGGAGAGAGAGCAGAGAGAAAGAGGAGAGAGAGAGAGACCACAAGACTTCATTTCTACTGAGTTCTTACAGGGTTCTGATCGGGCCAATGTCATCTACGTTTCTTTTTTTCTATACTTTAGTCCAAAGTCTTTCTCCATGAGATGCTAGAGAGGGGACATACAAGCTGTTGTCCTCTGATTCCAGCTTTTTTTTTTTACCTTTCAGCAAAATGATCCCCATCCCAGCAACCTCTTAGCTTGGGCGGATGGAGTTTGAAGATCTGTTTATCGAGGACAGTGAAATAATACTGACCAGGAACTGAGTGTGTAGCCATTATGATACTTAGTTGTAATCACACAAGAAGGGAACTTGGACCTTGTCTTAGAGGGACCAGCTGCCCCAGGCCCTAAGCACTGTGCTCAGTGCCTAGTTAACATGATTAGTCCCTTCCTTCTGTCACCTGGAGATGCAGGCTCAATCATGGCTGCTCCTGCTCCACTCACCCTAGGTTTCCACTCTCTGCACACGATCCTTGGGGTCCACTGTCTCCCTTTGTACAACCTGCTGCACTACATTGATAATGGGGTGCTGCTGCTCACAGAGACTGCAGTCACAAGGCTCATGAAAGGTAAGCAAAGCCAAGTTAACCAGAGGGTGAGGCTCAGCCTGGACACCCTCAGGGCTGACTTCTGGGTAGGAGACACACAGGCCCAGCTACGTTCAGATAGGTCCCATGCTTAATTTAATGCTCCACAGTGTATATTGAAGTTCTTATTATTTAAACATGCATCACTTTATTTTCACCTTGCATTGGGCCCTACAAATTCTTAATACAGCCTATTTCCTGGAATCGTCCCTTCAGCCCAGCTGAGAATCCTTTAGCGCTTCAGGAGGCCGAAGAACTCCTGAATCCACACACTGCAGTTAGATCTGTTTTCTGTATATGAGGGTAAAAAAGAGGCTAAAAGAGTCTGTGGGTGTTTTTCCAAGAAAATGTTATGAATTGGCTCACTTTCAGCTCGTTAATTTGGTCATCTCAAAGTTAGACTTGAAATGCAAGAAAAACTGATACAGTGCTTACATGAGCCTGCTTTGTGATCTTTCTCCTGTAGTCATTCACACGCGTGCTGCTCTTTGGAGTACCATATGCCTAAGTTAGTAGAGAAAACTGCTTGGTGCTGGGCTGTTACAAAATAAAAGCCCCCTTCATTCTATGTCACCAACTAAAACTTTGAAAGTATCACTAGCCTGTGAGTGCAGGGTTGGGACAGCTCAGGAGGAAACACTCAGGGTTTAAATCACGCTGAGGGATTTGAACGGATATGTCTGTCTTATTTGTTAATCTCCAACTTTGTTGTAGATCTGGACAATTCAGAGAAAAACGAAAAACTGAAATTCAGCGTCATTGTGAGGCTCCCTCCGGTAATCCTGAAATTCATTTCCTCTTAAGCCTCCTCTCTCCACCCTCCTTCGTTTGTCTCTTGTAAGAAGAGAGCTTCCTCGCCCTGGCTGAAGTCTCTCCAGTTGTTTAACTTGTCAGCCCTTCCGTGAAATCCCATCCACCTCCACCCTTCTGCTGGCAGCTCCTGAAGGCCTGCACAGTGTGCTTCTCTGGCGTTGTGCTGTGGCCCAGTGTATGCGGATAACTAACCCGTTCCTTCTCCGGGGAAACCATTGTGATATTTTCATGTAGGAGGGAGAGGGAGATGTGTGCCTTTGACATTTAGACTGATAAGGAATTCAAATACAGGTGAGGTCAGAAGGTTCTAGAGCTGCATTTCCTCCTCCCATTGCATTTCTGAGCACAGGAAAACATTATTACCAGGTCAAAACTGGAATGAAAAACAGGGCAGGAAAATGTGACAAAGGCACTCCTTGCTTTTTTTTTGCAGGGGATGTGAGCTCTTGTAGTGAGAAACATCATGCAAGTACAAAATTCCCCAGCAAGGCCTTTCGCACCTCTGACTTTGCAAACTTCCTGACCCTAGAGCCTGGCCAGCCCCGTGTACTGTTTACACACTGTGAGCACCAGGACCTTTGGCACTGGCTACCCTCCCCAAAAGGATGTCCCTTCTGGACCTGGTGGTCATGCCTTGTAGTTGTTCAGTCATGGGAACAAAGCTCCCACCATTCCCACGCTCTGTCTCCCAGAAGAACAGTGTCGACATTTAGCTTGGACTCCAAGTTTGACTTTTTTTTTTTTATGTCCTGTATTATTAGGGTATTTAAAGTTTCTAGGCCAGACAATAGGAGAGAAATCAACATAAATATGCCTTTAGTTTCCAGTCAAAGTGTTACTTTGGGTTGGCACGCTCATCTCCAGCTTTGAAGGATCTCAGATTCAATATCATTCCAGAAAAAAAACAAAACAAACAAACAAAAAAAGGAATTTGGCAGCATTGATATAAAAGTTGCTTTCCTTTCCAAGGTAGCCATTGAGGGAGTGTTTATTAAAACTTCAGAAGCATATTTCATGAGCGTGGCCTCTCTCCAGCAGTCAGGAGTCACACACCTGTTTTGCATTTTAGAGTTGCTAGCCACTAGGGGATAACAGTTTGAAGTTAAGAGTAGGTGTGTGATCTGTTCAATGCACTGTGACCTATACTCTCCTCTGCGTGATTTTTCAACTGCGAGTAGCTTATTGGCCAGAAGATCTTTCGGCTTTGGGACCATCCCATGAGTTCCAACATCATTTCACGGAACCATGTGGCACGCCTGCTGAGGGGCTATAAGAAGGAGGTGAATCTGTGTGAAGCCCAGACAGTGAGTGTTCCTCAGATCTGACCTGCCATACCGTGGTAGACGTGATTATGATTTTCTTTTTATCATTTGATTTAAAGTTGGGTACATCTTGGAAGCAATTAACACACAGGGAGTGTTTTCCCTTTTAGCCTCGGAACTGTATGATTGACAAGTCATCATTTCCAGTAGAATTTCTGCCTCTGAACTACTTCATTGAAATTCTGACGGGTCTGGAGTCCTCCAACCAAGGTGATCCACTCCTCTGTCCCTAGGAGTTTCCCTTGACATGTCAATCATTCCCTATTCACATTTTGTATTGTTTCATCCCTAAACATCCCTTACAAGTATCAGGAAAGTTGATCTTTGTTAGACAGAAAACTGTTCTACCTAAATTACCAAAGGAATATGTACTCACCTTTGAAGAAAGGTGCTTGAGGTGTGTAAGCCAGACTTTAATGACATTTAACCACGTATTCTCAGAAGAACACATTTCACTAAAATATAAAATGATGTTCCCAGTGAGCTATGGGAACAAAGTTATAGAGAGCCGTGGCCTCACTGTAACACACACTCTCTCCCTCCCCAGCCCTGTCTGATTTGGAAGGACGGGACAACGTGGACGCAGAATTTGTAGAGGAGGCGGCTCTGAAACACACCACAGTGCTTCTGGGCTTATGAAGTGAATTGCAGATGATCTGTTTTCAACGTTTTCAAATTGCTTTCACCTCCCTTTCCTGGGAGTTCTTCAGCTGTCTTCTAAGATTGCAAACGGGTCAGGATATACCACAGAGCTGTTTGGCTGCGGTTCAGTACTTGTTCAGACGGAGCGAGCTGCTAATCTGTTGGCTTGAGCAGAAAAGAATGACAAGCAGTTCAGGGCTGTGTGCTATGGCAGAAACAGTGCTCTTCTTGGTGACTCAGCCGGAGGGCCAATGGGCAGAGCGGCAAGGGCTAGGCAGATCTCCGGAAGTATCACAAAACAAGCAGAAAAAGTAAAGTTCTGAAGAGGATCTAAGAAGAACCTGACTTAGGACTGAAGAAGATCTGCCCTTTTCCTCATGGAGTAACTGTGAAGAATCCTAATTTGTACACACAGGACTTAAAGCAGCCTCTGCGGTGCCTCAGACAGAGCTGTATTTAATTTTATATTGATGAAGGTTTGACTTGGCACTAGCTTCTCATTGAAGACAGCCTCAAATGCCGAGACCTTTGGCCCGCCTCTCCTGATTTTTGACTGTAGCCTTTTTCTTTGTGTAAAGGCATCAGTAGGATTTCCATAAGCCCATCAGTGTGTTGCTGCAGAGGCCATGACACCTGTCTCGGTAGGTGTTCCATCCTCTCTCATCCGTCTCCCACAGTGATGTCACCCTGACGCATAAGGCTCAGCTTTCCAGATTCAGTTCTGCTTCTCTCTCTTCTTACTGTTTCTCTCTCACCTGGTGAGATTTTAATGATTCTAAATGTCACCAATTCATACGCTAATTCACTGTATTTTCTTCAGTCTTTGTTGTGTTCTGAAAACTGTCCTAGCCTATAGAATTTCCCTTTCTGTTTCAAATGGTCAGCCGGGCTTAGAGTCTTGGCACCAGGTCAGCATGTGGCAATAAATACTGTATGTTCACAGTACTTATTTTACAAATTACTCTGTACTGGAGACAGCAGATTTTATTTAGTTCAGATTAAATAAAAAAAAATCCTCCTTGCAAGTAAAATTCTTACAGAACATTTAATTTGTGCTGTCAGTGGTTCATCTACTTTTTGCTGTTCTAAGTACATTTACCTAGATCTTTAAAGTAAATGGACTTTCCTTCTATTCTTTGCTTTCATTTATTTCTGTTCACAGCTGTGTTGTTCCTGTGATTTCCCAAAGCTGAAGTTATTGGACACATATTTGAGGTAAACATCAGTTTGACTTTGACCGTCATCTCATAATTATTCAATAACTTGCTATTCACTGAAGAGTAACATGCCACCTACTTGGCAATTCACAAATTCTGACCCAGTAAAATATGAACAGTCTTTTGCAGCCAAGCCAATTCCCTAGGCCTTGGAGCATAAGTTTGGCTTTCTTATTTCAAAGGTTGGATCAGCTTCATTCCTCCACTTGGAATCCCTCTCTGCATCAAAAAATATGTATTTTTTTAATGCTCTAGGGCTAAACACACACACACACACACACACACACACACACACGACTGTAATCCAAGAATTTTCATTACATGGTGGCAACTTTTTCTCAACCATTGGCACATATTGTAATATTTAAGTGTCCAGCTTTCTATGAATTAAAAAAAATAAAAAATATTGGGCCACCATGGAAGAGGATATGCTCCTTCTTGATGCAACTTGATGTGCTGGGGTGGGTTAGTAGGGGACTCTCCTTTCCTGAGGGGTAGGGTAGAAGAGATAGGGGAAGGAGGGAGGGAGAGTGGGACCGGGATGAGAGAAGAAAGGGGGCTATGATTGGGATATAAAGTGAATAGATAAATAAATTAAAAAAAAAAAACATTTCCATTCTTACGGTGTTTAAACTTTCTAGTTTTGTTTTGTTTTTGTTTTTGTTTTTTTCATTTTTATTTTTAATTCCCAAAGAGGTTACTAAATCCTATGACACAGGGACTGTTTAAGTATGCGGTGTTTTCTTATTAAATGTCTGGTACTTACTGAAGGCTCTCACAAGCTGTTTGCTTTGGGACGATCTCGCAAAGCAATGAGACCAAATTAAGGACTCACAAAATGAGAGTAAACTAATTTCCATTAAGTGTGGCTTGGAACAGAATGTTGGATTTATCAGAATAAAAGTATGGTATTTCTCAGTCTCCCAGAGCTGGACGTGAGATCCCTCACTGCTACCAGCACAATGGGAAATAGCTTCAGCATGTTAGTAAATATAAAAGTGCAGGTCTCACACGTACGAGCGAATTGTCACATCTGATAAAAACACCGGAGTTGGGAAGATGAATGGGCGAAATGAAAATTTAAGCAGATAAGTAGAATTGTTCTCATAGAAGTACAGAATTTTGGTAGACATCTAGAAAAATCTAGTATCAGAGCTTAAAATGATCATGAATTTGTTTTCAGATGTGAAAAAAAATGCATTTTTAAGGAATAAATTAGGACCTAAATCTTTTTGCAGCAAAGGGATCCTTGTAAAATTGTGAAAATTTTTCACAGCGTTACTTGAGTGAGAGGCTTCACCGCTGCTCTTTACACGAGCCAAGTGCTGCTGCAGCAAAGAGGCTGTGTCATGGTGTCACAGGGCTGTTTCCCCTCCCAGGTAACCACACTGCACACACACAAGTGATTTACCTGCTTTTCCTCCGGAAGAGAAAATGACCACTCCAATTTCTGTGCTTCACTGAAAAGCTATTTATTTTGTACGTTTACAGCATCTTGTTGTCTGTTATATACCCCTGGAATGTAGTCAATATAAACACGTGAGCAACTGGGATTCACTTTGACATAACTGTAGCCTCTGCTCCATTCAGTGTCTTGTAACATGTCATAGTTGGTGGATGTAAGAAACCATGCCCCACTCTGTTGACTGCCCCTAGCTGATCAGCAGTGCCCGTTCGTGGTGCGGAGGCTGGCTGAAGTCCTCGCGTTGGGAAGCCTGGACTGGTCCACACGTTTAGATTTCAATAGGCTTGACAACAGGCTTCCTTATGTGCCTCATGTTGGATCCAGGTTCGGTGGGCTTAAACGGAGCCATGGCGCCATATGGTTTGGGCAGAGGAAGCGAGGTTTCTGCATCGGGCATGTAGGCGTTTGGACGCTGCTCTGCGGTGGTGAAGACCCCGTTGGGCAGCTGCCGATAATCTGTTTCCACGTACTCCTGCAAAGGAAGAGGCTTTCATTTCAGTTTTCTCAAAGTGCCAGGCTTATCCTAGGGTCCTGCAGGAGCGGCTTGGCTGTTCAGACTACGTGTGTTAAGAGTGGGAAAATCCCACATACAGGTTGAACCTGCCTAATCCCAAACCCGGAGATCCAAAATGCTCCAAATGTTTTGAGGATTGATAAGCTATCACAAGTAGATAACTCCATCCATGAATGGCACGTTATGATTGTAGTCAAAATACAAATATAATAAAATATGGTATAAGAGAATGTGGTGTTTTAGACCTGGGCTCCATCCCCTAAATATCTCATGAAAAAAATCATAGGAAAGTTCCAAACCCCTCTCTTCCCAAGCCTGTCAGATAAGGGGCCAGCCACCGCCTCAGGGCCTAGCCACCGCCTCAGGTCTGGCTCTGAAGGCAGCATGCTGGCACACTCGCAGCATGGGAGTTAACGCTTACCCGAGACTTCTCAGCGGTGGCACAGGCGTACATTTCTTCATCTCGAAGGACCTTCATCCAGACCTTTTCAATCTCTCTTTTGAGTGGCAGGCCCCTTTCTATCCTGGAATTGCAGGAGTAGATGAATTCCTCCTTCTCCCTCACCTCCTTCTGGAGTTCAATGGTCAGGGCTTGTTTCATGGACAGCTCAGCAACAAGAGCCATCATTTTCTCAGTAGCATTTTTGATCCTTCTTTGGTAGCCATTCATCTAGAAACAGAGAGCCCACGGTTCAGTTGGTAGAGCTATCTGTGAGGACATGGAGGAAACAGAAGACTTGGCCACCTGTGTGGGCAGTCTTTCCTGGAAGGATGAGGGATTAACTGAATTTCCTAGGAAATCCCTGACAGAGGCTTCAGGGATTGAACCTGTCCTGCTAACTTTTTTTTTGTTGCTGTGATAAAACAATGACCAAAGGAAACTTGTGGAGGAAAGGGCCTTTTGACATTCATTTCCATTATGGAGCAAAGTCAGGGCAAAAATTCAAGCAAAAGCCACAGAGTACCACCGCCTACTGGCTGATTCTCTGACTCACTCATTGGGTCATGCTCAGTCAGCTCGCTTTCTTTTATGGCCTAGACCTGACTGTCTAGGGATGGTACTGCCTTCAGCGGGCTCCGCCCCCAACGTCAATCATCAGCCAAGACATTCTTTCATTGGGAATGGCCAAGGCCAATCTGATCCAGGCAGTAGAACCCAACATGTTTGGTTATGTAAATAAGAAAAGATGAGGAAAGAATTCAAAGGAAAGGTTTATCTAGTCGATAGCTTCCAGGGAGGAGAGCCTTGAGGGACTAGCTTAGTGTTGGTTTTTAAGAGGTGAGGAGAGAGGCGTGCCTGTGATGCCTAAGTTCTGGCCCACTTGTAAGTTCTGGCTCAAACAATAATATGGGTTTATCAGGTTGAGCCTTTCCAGCTGTTTGGAGGCCTTTCTGGCCACACTGTGCTTCTCTAGTATTACAAGTAATTTCCAGAGACTCTGCCATCAGTTTTGAAAAATCATCCCTCAATGGAAGAATGACTTTCTCTTAAGGCAGGGGAATTCATTTCCATGTTTATGAGGCCAAATTATACACTTCTGCCATCGGACTTGCCAGAGTAGAATTGCAAAGGCTACGTGAAAATGGAGTTTTTACCATTTTTTTTTTTTTTTAGGCGAATATTCAGTCACATTCAACATAGCTTTGCAAAACTATTTCCAGAACAGGATTGGCTGTTTATTTACTCACAATCATTTTTCTAGGGTCTGTTACATGCGAGACACGGAGAAACCCAGAGAGGGACTGTCCCTACCCTCTGGAGCCTAGTCTGGGGTGTAGGAATCCTCCACTCTTATCAGACAGGGCAGGAGAGCCCAGGGCGGCTGTGTGTAGATTCAGTCACCTTCAGCTATTTCCTTCTTCCTCACTCTGCTGGATGGTGTGTGCGCGCCCCTTCCTCTTTGTCTGGCTCACGTGTGGTGGGGCATTGCATGGCATGAATTCAGTAGCTGTTGCTGGGTGGTTAGAAGCCCTCTTCTCAAGGATGCTCGAAGGTCCCACGGAAGCCTTCCTCCACTATGCATGGTGTGATCCTGCCACCTTTCAGTCACCGGCTCCCTCCTGCCAGCTGTTGCTTTCGGTAATGCCACCCCTAGCAGCTTTGAATCTCCAGCCCTCATGCCTCCAATGTGTTCACTTGGGAAGTGCCCTGTGACTAGTCAGCCTGGGAATTGTGTGACTGCTGTTCTCTTCAATGGCTCCTTTCCATCTGTGGGTTCTGGCTGAGTTCTGTATTGGAGCAATTCCAGGTCAGACCACTGGATAAGTAAAGTTTTGTTTTTTTTTTTTGTTTTTTGTTTTTTTTTCTGCTCAAAGAGAAATAGAGAGGGTTTTACTTTATACACCAACTACGAAGATAATGGTTTACTTGAGAAGTTGCCTCGCTAACTAAAACTTAAATGCTGTCCCTGAAAAGCTTACACGTCCTTCCAGTGAAGTGGATTCACTCAGGGAGCGAACCAAAGCTCATTTTGGATTAATGGTGACACATTGCTGTGTTTCTAGACTCATAAGATTTCACCTCTCTAGAGCATCTCAACAAACTGAGAAGAGTGGCACACAAAAGGTGATAGCAGGAGCTGGGGCCAGGAGGGGGCCGGGAGGGGGCTGGGAGGGGGGGCCGGGAGGGGGGGCCGTCCCACAGGCAGACCTTCTTGGCTAAGAGCAGCGTGTCCTCCTTGCACGTCCGGGTCTTGCCTTTGAGCTTGTTTGTGAGCTGGGACACCTGCTCGTAGATGAAATCCTTCTCCAGTAACTTCTCCTCCTTCTTGGCCAGCTGAAGTTCCAGCTATAGTTGGAGACAATTTCAGTAGGAGATTTAAAAAAAATGACTTAGGTAAGGCATGGTCTTCAGTCCCAGTCTGTCCTCCACCCCATGACAGAGACACATAGCTGTCTCTGTTGTTAAGATACCCCTGAAAAGTCTCTGAGCTGGGCCACGTCAGGGGACACTCTGGAGGCTTTTCCACCCAGGGTGGACTATGGCCTCTGGCTCTATTTGGCGCCCGCACAATGCCATTCTTTCCAGGGGTTCCCGCCAGGAAGACAAATTAACATATTCGTTCAAGAAGTCAAAATCAGTTACTGAGCTAGTGAAGGAGGGCACCGTTGAATCTTGAAGCTACTGGATCTTTACTTCCTTGGGTCAATATCTGAGGATTTAGGACCACACAACAAGGAGGGGCCACCTAGGGGCTAGAAGAATGAAGGATGGGTCTGCCAGCGTGAGGGGAAACAGCACTGTGAGCAAACAGACACAAGTTTAAGTAAGAGCATTTACCATATCTAATTTCTTGAGCATTTCTTCTTCAGTCAGATCTTTTCCCTTAATGTAGCGGGTCCTTTTCTTATCGGCAGGGTCTAGGAAGCGTTTCTCCAGGTCTTTTATTCTATCTGAACACTGTGCAAACTATTGAACAAGAAGCAGACATTAGCTTTAAAGTTAACTCTATCTTGGGTAAACCTTCAAATTATGTAGCCAGGCTCTTTAGCTCATTTGTGGAACTATGTGGACCCTGTGTGGGAAGGCAATGTCTGTCTGTCTCACTGGAGAGAAGGCTTAGTTCCTCCAAGCCCTTCCGTTGCTCCCAGTTGTGTGTGACACTCACAGGATGGTGTGTGGTTAAGGGCTCAAAATAGTCTGCGGCTTCACTGCAGGTGTTTCAGAGACAGGGGCAGCTGGCTTGTGACAGGTTGGATTCCTTTGTTGGCAGTGGCCTCGGGGGAAGGAAGTTCATTATCATGCTAACCCAGCTTGTGCTCTGTGAGAAACTGTCCCAGCCACTCGTATACTTTTTGCTAAGGAGCCTTTGAAGAGGTTGCAGCTGCTGACTGACTGAGGCCTGGAGGTGGGTAGTGATAACAGACACAATGGCTGCATTTCGTTTTAAGAGGGGAGAGGTAGAGCACAGTGCTAACCCAGCGTTCTTGCCTCCAGCTTTCCCGGATACCCGTTTCTCAGATACCTCTGGCTTCGCCGTTGACACAATGCAAGATGAGGCTTTGAAACAACATACTTCAGCACAGCGGGCCTCAACTTATGGGTCGTGACCATCAGAAAATACACATTTCTGATGGTCTTAGGAACCACCACTCAGTGGGCAAAATTACAGGTAGGAAGTAGCAATGGAAATATGGCTACCAATCAGGCACGTATTTCGACAAATGACCCTGATGTAGTCGCACTACCTGGAAGATGCCGCCGTCTGTCTTATCTTTCTCAATGCACCAAAGTATGGACGCAGACCCTACATCGAGCTCCACAGATCATTTGCATGAAGTTAAGTGGAGAACGGAAAGTAAATGTCAGCACTGAGAAACAGTTACTCGTATGCTGAGAGAGGAGGTTTGCCCTCAGATTTCTGATTATTTTAATACTTATTCTTGGGGATAGAATTTCTTTTCCTTTAACATTTTGTTCTTTTTCTTTTTCAATTAACTGGACACACCTTAATTTCATAATCAAAAAATAAAAAAGACTAAAAGCAAGGATGGCGGTTTAGAATACAGGGTAGCATTGTTCCCACAGCCATGAATCAGTGGGAAGAAGCATGGGCCACACATATGTTGGCTCAATTTTTTATGCTTTCATAAAAATATCACTACATGTGAAGGAAGCAGGCTTCTGTTCATGTTTTAGTCTTTGCTGTGGGGAACCACAGGTTAATAAAGAGTCTGTTGCGCCTGACTACAGACTGGGAAGCTTTTCGTTCCTTCCGAGGGTAAAAACACAGCCCAGCAGGCTGGCTGTGATAGCACAGCTTGTCATCTCAGCACTCAGCAGGCGGAGGCGGGAAGGCTGCAATGAGTCCAGCTAGCCTGGGCTACGCAGGGGTTTCAGACCAGCAGTGGTTATAAGAGCCTACTTCCACAAGCCCGAAAGCCACCCAAAGTTACATATAGGTGGCCAGAAATGTCGACGACATAAATGTACTACAAGTAGTGTGAGCCGAGAGTTCTCCCGACAGAGCTACAGAAATGATAAACCAGGACCAAATCCTAGCATGACCCGGGTTCCAAGAAACACAGATAATGCTTCATGAGAAAAGCAAAGCAAAACAAAAACCTGAAAAATGGTGTAGCTCCAAAACCGCACCTTGGAGAAGGGTTCAACGTCATTTTCAAACGTCACCTGTCTCGTGGGAGCTAGCAACGGTGTGTGGCTTGGCTATCTGTTACAGAACCCATTGCATTTGCATAGGAACAACTGGAAAGATGACAAGCCAATGGCCTGGGAAAGTGTCCCCTGGCCGCTCACCCACCTGGATCTGGAGCACAGCCAGGTCAGCATCCAGGGCCGCCTTGGTTGGCAATAATTTCTGTGTCACACAAATCTGCCGTTGCTTCTCAGAGATCTTCAGTTTTAGGAATCGGATTTTTTCTTCCAGTACACGGATTTCAATGTCCCCATGGAGCTGCATCTTCCCTTGGATATTTATTTTTTCGTAAAAGATGCAAACCTCTTCTTCCCGCTCTATCAGCTGAACACCACTGTGGCCAAATTCAGAGCAGGGGTCTAAGTGGGTGTCGAGGCCACTGTCTCTTAGTTACCCCGGGGTAGGGGAGGTCACCTCCAACACGTGAACCAAGCAAAAATCAGGCCTGGTTTTCTGCAGGTCTTTTCTTGGGCCAGACTTGCCAAGCAAGGCCAGAAGCCACGGGCAAAGGGCCTGGGAGTATGATTCTGGACTGAGTCGCCAGGCCCATGAGGCTCTGTGAAGAGAGGTTGGTTCCCCAGTTCCTGCCGTTTGTAACCATGCTCACAGGCACAGTGGAAAGACCCCTTCTTGAGAGGAAGCTGCTGGTTAGAAACAAAGTGAGAATTTTTTTCCTCCAGCACCTTTGGTCTAACCAGGGCCTGGGAATGCTCACAAACTTCTGCTTGTGCCAGGAGCCAAACATGATTGTTTGTTTTGTTTTGTTTTGTTTTTTAACAAGGACCTTAAAGATCTTCCCACACCATCTGTATATCCATTACTGCAACTGCTCCCTGTAATTTTTCTGAATCTTTCTCTCCCCTCCACTAGCGAACATGCACGTGCACCTGGCAAACCTTACCCCTCCACTCAGCTTCTTCTCTTTGTTTTCCCTCTGTCAAAGTTTCTTCCTATCAAATTCCTGTGATGACAAAAGCCAGCAGCAATCCTTTGCCCTCAGGGCCTAGTCTTCCAATGCTTTACATGAAATAGCACACAACATCTGTGAAGTTTGAATTATTTCAGGGCTCTGTCATCTCACTTACCGATTTCTCAAGACAAGTTATGGGCGTGGGTGGTGGCTGTTAAAAGAATACTACTATTAATGACAGGCCTGCAGCCTGGAAGAACTATGCCACTCCTCGAAGGCTTAGTTACTTATGAGGAAAATGAACTAGGAGAATGGGTTGATAGAGCCAAATGCTGCTTCACTGGATAAACGTTACAAAGACAGACCCACGGCAGCTGATGCAGGAGGAGTTCAGTGTTATCCTTGAGTAGCGGTTCTCAGTCTGAGGGTCGCGGCCCCCACAGGGTCAAGATCAGCTATTCTGCCTATTAGATGTTTACATTATGATTCATAACAGTTGCAAGCTTACAGTTATGAAGTAGCAATGAAATAATTTTATGGTGTGTGTGTGGGGGGTCACTGCAAACATGAGGGACTGTATTAAAGGGTCACAGCACTGGGAAGTTGAGAATCACTCTCCTAAAGTCTCAAGAAAAGACTTTTATCTTCGAATGTCCGCAACCCTCCTCTTCATTCCCCTCCCGCAGACAGCCTGTGTTGTTTCTATGCAAAGCACACAGCTCCCTCCAAAGGCTACATGGCAGGAGGCTCCCTGGGCACTCAGCCAGCCGCCCTTGATACCTTTCATTTCGCCGTTGGATGGCCTTCTCGTACTTCTTGCGCAGCTGCACCATCTCCTCCTCAATGATGGTGATCATGCTGGCCAGCCTGTCCATGCTGTTCAGCTGCGCCTCCTTCTTCTCCTTCATTTCCTGGAGTCTCGAAGTGATTTTGCACACTTCGTTTTGCATGCTCTCCCTGATGGTCACATTGTTGGCATGCTTCAGCATGGAGTTTTGCAGCTTTCTTTTAAAATAATGGCACAGTGGGGAAGATCATTATTGTCTTCGAAAATACAGAAGACAGCTGAAAAGGCTGCAAAAGAATGTTTCCCTGGGACTTCATGTCAAGGGCCCTGTCCTGGGGTCCTCCCTCTAGCTAGATATGGATACTGTCATTGGGTCAACCACTGTGCCACACTCTTTTGTGAAAGGGGCCTTTGCTGCTCTGTCATCTCAGGAGACTGAGTTCTGAGGCTAGAGGTGCTTCTACTAACAATGACAACTGGACCTGCTGGACTCATTTTAGGAACATGGGTTAGGCTGGATGAAATCACTGTAGATGGTATTCTAATACCTGTAGATGGTATTCTAATCTCCTCTTGGGTAAGAATATGACTAGAAAAAAATTTCTTTTTAATCAGTGTATTTGATATCTTTTTCAAAGTCAACTGGGCAATAGTGGTCAACAGAAAAACCCAGTTACATGGTCTCAGGAGATCAGGAGCTAAACTAGGTGAAAGAGTCCAGTAGATCCTATGACGTGGTAAACAATATATTCCTAAGACTACAATTTTTCAGATGTTCTTTCTGGTATTGTTAGAGATGAACTCATTTGTTACTATCGTGTAGGAACAAAAAGTTCTGCACAATAATGATGAGGGTTATGTATAAGAAAAGAGTCCAGAGAAGGAGCTTGCCCGAGGTCCCACAGATTGTAACTGGCAGAGCTCTGGGTGAAGTCTAGAAAGCATTGCTTTAGCCTCCCCCATGTACACCACATGCTTTAAATCTACATAAAACCAGGGATGCTCTCGAAGAAGTAATTTGCCTCCTAACTTCACATGCAGATTGTCAAGTTTATACTTCTTTTCTTAATTGAGCAGATTAAAGTCAGCAGATCATTGTAGTAAAAACAGGACCTAGAGCCCCTGCTTAGATGTAGCCCAGGGGCAGCTCAGTTTTCATGTGGGTTCCCTAGTAAGGATAGCAGGGACTGTCTCTGGCATGAACTCGGTTGCCTGCTCTTTGATCACCTCCCTTTGGTGAGGTGGCCTTACTAGGCCACAGAGAAAGAGGATCCAGACAGTCCTGATGAGATCTTACAGACTAGGCTTAGATAGTAGGGTAGGAGGACCTCCCCTATCAGTGGACTAGGGGAGGGACATGGGGGGGAGAGAAAGGGAGAGTGGGGCCAGGAAGAGATGAGGGAGGTGGCTACAGCCAGAAAAGAAAGTGAATAAATAACAACAACAACAACAATAATACTAGAAAAATAAATAGTTTTAATTTAAAGTTTTGCATTCTTAAAAAAAAAAAATGTGACTCCTAGATGGAAAGCTAGAAGTATGCTCCAGTGCAGTACATCTGTTGTTATCTGGGAATCAAGGAATTTGAACTGGTTATCCCCATCTCTGAAAGCCTTGCCCTCTTTCATGACCAACAGGGTATTCTAGAATGCCAAAAACACAGAAGGCACGGCTTGGAAAGGACACTGGCTGCAGGGAACCATGGAGCTGACCTGACCTAGCTGCCTTGAGAGGCCTGCATTATAGGTTTCTCAGGTTCAAGTCCATGGTTCCTGGAGCACTGTGTACCTTCCAGTTACTGAGAGAGCATGCACTCCCTCAGGCAGCGAAAGGTCCAGGCTGCTTTGTGTCTCTCTGTATGTTCCTTTGGAGGTCAAGGAAGCATGGAGGCTTGGCAGGACAGTTGGTCTTAGGCATTAGTATTGTGAACCTTGCAAAGTCTGCAAATATCACTGTGTCCTAGCAACTACAATTGTATTGATCTTGGAAATTGCCACTCTATTCTGCTTCTGACAAAGGTATAAAAAGTCTCATTGTTCTCAGGAAAACTGTCAAAGCCTCAGTCTTGCTGTGGCCCCCCCCCAACCAGCCTGATTTAATTCCCTGTGGCCAGATCAGGCAGGTCACCTTGGCACCCTGGTCTGGTAAGTGCACAGGGGAACTGACAACCAGCTGTCATAACTCTTACCTTTCTTGAGAGACAGTACTGTTTCTTAAAATTTCCAGCTCATTTAATGACATTTTGTGCCTTTCTCTTATCTCGTTTACTTTCTGATGAGCTTTGTGAAGTAGGTTAACAAACTTATTTCTTTCATTTCTAATTGTGTCATACAATTTGGCAAATTCTTTGAGTCTGTGAAAACATGAGATAGTTTTTAAAAACTGAAAAATAAATAACACTTCTCCCCCAAATCGAAAAGTTAAGGCATGACCAAATTCTTTTACCTCCGATGAACTTCACGTTTTCTCTTCTTATATATCTTGATTTCAAGATCCCTTGACCTGATTTCCTTAAGGACTGTGGAATATTTATTCTGAAATGTAAAATTTATGTGTGAAGTAAAGAAAAACAACCAGAGAGCACGGTGTGACGGCTCATGTCTGTAATTCTAACATTTGGGAAACTGAGGCAGTAGGCTTGCAATGAATTCAGGATCAGCCTGTGACATACAGTAAGACCCTATCTCAAAAATTCAAAACCACCCTCAACAACAACAACAACAACAACAAAAAACACGAGATAAGAGTACCCCCACTGAACGCCACTCCATTCCTGTCTGCCAGTTCTCCCTAACCTGCTAGATTGCACAGATGAGGAGAACAAGAGAGCTGAGAGCTGTCTGGCCAGCTCAAGTGAGTCCCATTGACGAGGACAGAGGAAAGAAGTAGAGAGGATAAAAGAGCCTCCACAGACAGGGTGGGCAGACTTGGGGATGACTACTGAGGACAGAGTAACTCCAGCCTGCCTTGCTTGTCCAGGCGAGCATGGTGCTCACAGAGGTCAATGAGGTTTTACAGGAAGTTTTGACAAATGTCCCGAGAGACTGAAGCAATCGTTTTAAAGTGCAGTTGTCCTTTTGTTTGGTGGGTGTATTTTCCTTTAAAGCGGGCACCATGCTGAGACCAGGTATGAAGCTGTATATAAATACATTAAGAAGAAAGTAGCTATACCTTCATAAATCATATATACATATGTATATATATGGTATAGGTATGTATGCATATATATACACACACACACACACATATAAAGTGTTGAATGTACTAGTGATACTCTTTAGATAGAAAATGCTTGGCGGATCCTTACTCTGGGATAGGAAGCATTCGGAGATAGAGTATCTGCTGGTAAGATTCCGGGAGAGGGGGTGCAGTCTCAGTCACCCCATCAGAGGTAGCCAGGGCAAAGTCATATGACCTAGTCATGCCAAGGCAGTATGGATAGCCAGTGATTTTATTCTGTATAACTTTCAGTGAAAATGGGGGTGAAGAAGCTAACGCTCGGGTGACTGCACATGCAGAGAATAAAACAGGGGCAGGATGAAGCGTCACCTGGACCGACTTAGATTTAGGCTGTCTTGAGTCTGACAGCAGTCAACATGAATCCCACCCCAGCCACCTTATATCTTTGTTTCATGGTTTTTTTTTGTTTTGTTTTGTTTTGTTTTTTTTGAGACAGGGTTTCTCTGTGTAATGAGCCCTAACTGCCCTGGACTCGCTTTGTAGGCCAGGCTGGCCTTGAACTCACAGAGCTCTACCTGCCTCTGCCTCTCAAGTGCTGGGATTAAAGGCGTGTGCCACCACACCGGCTAGTTTATATATATTTTTTAAAAGATATAGATACGACATAAAATATAAGATTAAATGCCTTCTTGTGAAAATACTGTTAACTATAACTAATGACTCAAAGAGTAATTCCCAAAACTGGAACACTCAAGGGACAAACTATTTTTCCCTTATAATTTCCATATCTCAAAAGGAAGAAATGCCTTATGCTTTATTATGAATTAGCCCCTGTAGTAAGGAAGCTCAGCTTATGCAGACTAGCCACACATAGATAACATAAGTATCCCGTACTGGGATCTATTGGAATCCGCCTATTTTGTAAGACAGACCAGTTCTTTTCTGGCAGATGTAAAATTCCTGGAGAGAGAAGCAGGGGAGATTTTAACTAGGACTTCTCCTGGGAGTGGACTCTTCCAAGACAACAACAGGTGCTTCTGAAAACGCTCTTCTGGGCTCCCCCACCCGGACCCCGACTTTGGTAGCAGCGACCTCACACCTCAGCTGCTCATCTTAGTCATCCTCTCTTCTTCAGCTTTATTTCTTTCCAGTTCTTCAGAGGCTACAATCAATTTCATCTGTTTTCTGTGAGCCTAATTTTCCCATGGTTTCGGTGGGCTTTTGCAATGGAAATCAGACTGTTTAAGGTGGATTGAATGACCCTCACCATCTGCCCTTGTCTGCTACTGCTTCATTTGACATTCCTTCCCTTCTCCCTCTGCCAATTATGCCAGTTTCTCATTTTTCAGGTGTGAATGTGTCTAATTAATCAGCGAAAGAAGTGTCTGAAGAGCGGCCTAATTGCTGAGGGTCTGTGTGGCTAAAGCTTTCTCCTCCCTTCTTTGCTATAGAATCTGTGTCATCTCAATGCCCATCAATACTGTGTAATGTGGGGAATGAGAAAATAAATCCCATCTCCATGTAAGCGCTGAGAACAAGAACAAAGTTTACACTTATAAACAGCCATTGCCTAGGTCACATGACAAATGAGTACCTTCTATTTTAGTCATAGTTCACATCATATTTTTTTAAAGTTAGGCTAAACTTTAACTTCCTGTCTTTCCGTGCCTACTGCCTCTTGATTGCACATCATACGTGCACACTTTTGTTGGTTGTTTGGCAAGAGATCAAAGCCAGCCCAGGCAAGCAATCTAGCACTGAACTGTATCATGGCCTTTGTTTACTTTTAACAAAGAACCTCTAGACACAATCCTTCTGTGGAATAACTGATTCCAGTGTTAAAATGTTGGCTACTACTCCAGGGGGTTTTGTTTTGCGATGTTGCTTGTGGCGTTTTCTAGGAGTCTGGGGAAATCATGGGATGAAGCCGTAGCTGAGAGCATCCTGTACTGGTCCGTATGATGCTCTTGAGTTGTCCTAGGACCCGTCACAGTGGGATCTGTGGCTCTGTGACTTGCAGATCCTCTCTGTGGCCTATGTACCTTGGCAACCTTGTCACTACTGACACTTACTTCATTCTTATTGAATTTGCCATCTGTTTAGACCCTCTGATCATTGGGACTGAATTTTTAATTTTAACTTCTAAACCGATAACTACTGATAGCTAAATGCTGGCTTTGCTGTTATGGTTGTTTCTCGGTATATGATTGAGTGTCCTTTAGGAAAATTTTATAGGCATGGAATTTGAAGGAAATTTGGCACTACCACTTTCTAACTAACAGTGCATTAAAGTGAGGCCCCCTTGAGCCCATGTGGTAGTTAATGAACAGTTATAACAAAGCAGTTACCTGAGCTTTCAGGAAATCCTTAGACTTTTGTTCCTTTTCCTCAAGTTTGATTTGAGTCATCCGCGCAAGGCTGAGTACCACATCCTTCAAATGGTCTTGCTCCTTCAAGAGCTTGTTTTCCTCGGCAATCTGCTGCTCTACCAGCTTCGTCTTGGCCTCTGATATGGATCTCTTTTGAGAAGAACAGGATTAATACTCGCTTGCCGAAGGAGCACAGCAAAGTCAGCACACGGAACTGTCTTTTCCTTTCATGTTCATTAACAGACAGAGCAAAGTCACCAAATCTCTGCTCCAGAGATTTTCTTTTATGAAGGATGTGAGCTAGTGGGTAAGCAGGGCAACCTTTTCCTTAGTGTGTTTTTTAAATGACTAGAAGATGTCTGGAAATATGTTTTAAAATACTTCAGCAGTAGCTTGAATGACAAAAGTTTGCAAGCTTGAAATAGATATTGATGAAACAAGGTTGACCTTTAACGAGACCATCAGCCCTTTTATTTGGGAAATCTTAATAGCCTGTAAAAGGTTTGTCATTTCAAGCACTTCTTCCCCCCTAGGAGAAACTTTCAGATGAGGATGGTGTGTGCGTGTACTCAGTGGTAGACTTAGCTAGCGTGGCTGAGGCCCTGCATTTCATCTTCAGTAAACCTCCCGCATAAAAAGAAACGGGCCCACTGCAAGCAAGACGATACTTTAACAATGCATGCTTACTTTATAAATTAATGCATATTATATGTATAATTATTACGAAGATGAATGGGTTCCACTGTGGCATTTCCACACACACACACATCATTCTTTGATAGGATCCCCCTTCCCAGATGCACCCCCTCCCCAGCCCTTCCCATCTGCTAGCATTCTCTTTTGGATGTGGTTTTAGAGAGCATTTTTGAAACACAACTTTGCGTTCACTCTGGGATAAAAGTGTAAATGAGTGCCCATGCTGACCTGCTGCATCAGATTCCTCTTAGCGAGCTCGACTTCCTTTTGGAGCTCTCTCCTTTGCTCGGGTAATGAAAGGAGGTCTTTAGGGATAGCTTCAATCTGGAAATCAAAACAGGTGCTATTATGAAAACAATGTCCAAGATCATGGCGTCAACTGCATTACATACATTTTGAAAATGACAGACAAATCGTGATTTCTGATCTTACAGTCATTTCTATTCTGATTATTCTTTTTTAAAAAAAGATATATTTATTTATTATTTATATAGTTTTCTGCCAGCATGTGTGTGCCTGTGACCCAGAAGAGGGCACCAGATATCACTATAGATGGTTATGAGCCACCATGTGGTTGCTGGGAATTGAACTCAGGACCTTTGGAAGAGCAGCAAGTGTTCTTAACCTCTGAGCCATCTCTCTAGCCCCTGGTTATTCTTTATAAAATCAGTGCAAAGTAAAATATGAAGATCTACCAAAAGCACGTGATTCATTAGCTACAATTGTTTTACCTTTTCTAAATAAATCTTAATATCTAGCATGTATTGAGCATTGCTTAAATGCATTGCAGTGGTCTGAGGGCTTAGATGCATGATCTTATTCACTCCTCACAAATGCCATGAGGCATTCAGCTGTTCAGAAGTTGAGAGTGACATATGGACTTCCTCAGTCGTTCGTGCCGGCATGAACACAGGCAGCCAGTCAGAGAGCCCATGCATGATCTCTCCCTTACCCTGCTGCCTCTTGAATTCATGATTTAGGAACTGAGGAGCCTGCATATGCTTGGCTAATTCATGTGAGGGTGATCATAATTATCAAGTCTATGTTCCTTTATGAAAACACGTGGGCCAAAGAAAACTGGTTATTTGTTAACTGCGAGTATAACTTGCTACTTAAATGTGATAGTTTGCTGAGCAAATGGAATATTCTTTAAAGATAAAGCTCCTTAATCTTTTTGGTGAAACCTCCATTTTTGCCATTATACTTACTTTGCTGCATTAAGTTATACTTTTTGTCCTGTATTAAAATATTTTGGGGAAAGTATTTGATAAGGCATCACATAGTAGCTAATGAGGTAAGAGGAATATCCAATACTGTGAAAGCTTCACCTTGGGATGATAATAGCCTACCCAACTTTGGACCTCATTATGGAAGGCGAACAAGTCCAACCTGATATGGCTCTTTTCCACCAGTGACAACATACTTTGAGTCACCAAGCTTGTACACTAGCCAGTACGCACAGTAGGAAGGGAAGGCCATCCTGTTCCGTGGCTTAAAGGTCACCTAGTGGGATCTTTCTGATGCTCAAGATTCTCTTATGAAGTACTCAAGGGTATTTTTGGGTACCCTGTCCATCATCTGCACCCTCAGGTGCCCGATGCTTCCCGGTTCTCACCTACAATGGATGGACAGCTAACTGTCAAGAGGCACAGACATGGTCTTGTGAAATTCATACAGTAATATGAAGATGCACACCCATGCTGCTGATGAACGGGTGGGCACTATGACATATCAAGGCAAAGTGGAAGCTCGTGAAGCCTTGAGTAATTAGGAAGGCTTTGTGGGCACGGCGAGACATCCAGGAGGAAGAGTGCCACCTCGCTGGCGTGGGATAGATAGGTAAGCCAGCATGCCTGAAACCAGCATCACCTGCTGCAGGTGGGCCCAGAACGGGTTCTTCTCCATGCTCTACTCCCAGGGCTGGACAGCTTGGCTCTGAGGCCACCTGGGACTAAGAAATCTTGTAAACAAAAGCAACAGAAAAAACACAAATGCTTACTGAATTGGTCAACTAAAAGCTCCCAGCTCATTTTCTTGGTTTGAAGTCTTAGACACTTTCATTCTTTCCACTCTTTTGGAGTATAAACATTATCATGAACTGAACTTAATTCTGATTTTTGGCTTGTGCTCTTCCAACACAATATACCTGTGTGTGTATTGTTTATTTTCTTCACTGACCATTTCAGACATGTATGTGGCATTCTGGTTAAATCCTCTATAAAACTCAGCCCTCTAGCTTCTGCTAGATGAGACTCTGCTACCAACTGCTCATCTTATTAACCCTTTTCACAAGTCATGTGTATGCGAGTCTGCAGAAACTAGAGGTTATCAGTTTTGACCCTATTAGCTGGACTTCATTGTTGTTCCAAGTTGCACATTGTCTAGGAGTCCTCAGACTTCGTTGCCACAGGGTGAGGGTGACTGTGTGAGCCAGTGAAATGGGAAGACTCCTGGGTAGGGCTCCCGGGAAAGTAACTACTTACGTGTCAAAAGACTGAGCATGGTAAACCAAACCTAGAGAAGTCAAATGCCACATGTTCGCTCTCATCTGTAGCTTCTCTCATCTAGCTCATCATCTTTAGACATGGGTGTGTAACTTGGAGTAAGCACAGATATCAGGAAAGTGAAAAAAAGGAAAAAAAAAAAGGCCATGGTTGGCTGTGGGTGCCAGGAGTCTAGAGGGGGCAATAGTAGGACACACTTGCTGTGAAGGGGGAAATGGGAAAAACAGGTGGAAACCACTGACTTGGGAAGGGGGCAACACAGAAAGGGAAGGATACATGGCACTAATTATGTCTGAAAAGCCATACGGAATAATAGTATTTTATAATATTACATATCATATATAAGTGTGTGTGTTTATTGAAGTTATAGCACTTGGGGGTGATGATGTTCCATCTCAAGCTATAGGCTATCTAGAAAAACCCCAGTGTCAAGCATGACAGTCGGAGGAATAGGCCAACACTGTTGCCCTCGGTTGCCTTTCAGGAAAAGAAGGCAACACCCTGTTGTTGAAGACCACACACACTCTGGACACAGGACTTGGAGAAATCAAGCTGGACATGACCTGGAGTCCTCCCTTTCGAGGATGAGCTCTCATAGCAACAAAGGGAGCTGTAAAAGCTGCCAAAGAAGAAAAGCAATTAATAGTCTTACGTAGCTGTAATGCCTGGGAACCACAACAATGACCAGAATGTCAAGATATTCTGAAAGATGTAATAGTGGCACTCACCTCCTAGGAGTGGACACAGCCACCTGGCTGGACTTAAACCCCCAATAGGAGGGAATTCATGCTTGGTGTTATAAACAGACAATTACTCGTGACTGATGAGTTACCAAACCTAGAGGAAACCTACTGCCACCCCTTTCCTAAGCCAGGAACTTCTTTTTTTTAAAATTCTATTTTATTAATTTTTTTTACAATTTATTTATTACATTTCCCAATTGAAGCCCCTCCCTCAACTCCTCCCACTCCTACCCTCCCTCCCTCTTCTCCCTCATTCCCTTCCCCTAGTCCACTGAAAGGGGGAGTTCTCCTCTGCCATCTGCCCATAGCTTATCAAATCTCATCAGGACTGCCTGGATCTCCTTCCTCTGTGGCCCGGTAAGGCCACATCACCAGGGGTGAGTGATCAAAGAGCAGGCAACTGAGTTCATGACAGAGGCAGCCCCTGCTCCCCTTACTCGGGAATCCCACATGGAGACTGAGCTGCCAATCAGCTACATCTGAGCAGGGGTTCTAGGTCCTCTCCATGCATGGTTCTTGGTTGGTGCATCAGGACCCTCTGAGTTTAGGTTTTTTAGCTTTGTTTGTCTCCTTGTGGGGCTCCTGTCCCCGCTGTGTCCATCTATCCCCACCCCCCTTCTTTCATAAGCCTCACTGAGCTTTGCCCAAAGTTTGGTTGTGAGTCTCAGCATGTTTCAATCCCTGGTTGGGTGAATCCTTTCAGAGGACCCTCTATACTAGGCTCCTGTCCTTTTCTCTTCTTCCACCACTTCAGGTGTCTATCTAAGACAGGAACTTCTAAAAAGATTTTTTAAAAGAGGCTACAAAAAAGAGGGAAGAGGGAGGAGAAAGGAAGGCCAGGGGAGTTAAAAGAGAGAGTTGGAATGAATACGGCTAAAATACATTGCAAATTCTTGAAGAAGTAATAAAAATATTATATTTATAAAAAAGACAAAGCCATCCAAGCTGGTTATCACCTTGTGGAATGATCATCTTGTGACTATCAAGAAGAAATATAGCAAAGATGGTCAAGAGAGAGCTACAAGAATTCTGGACTTCTTGTGATGTGAAATTTCTTGATGTACCAATGTCTGGACTTTTTAATTATGTGAATAAAATATTCCCTTGTCTAGTAAAGCTACACCAACTTTCTGTTACTCATTGAAACCAAGTTGCAAACCTAACTGATGTCTTTTGAAAGGAAATCTTCCAACAGTCATCTGCAAAACATGCTAGAGTTGTGCTGAAATTGCCACTGCGGTGGCAGAAAAATGTCATCAAAGTTCTAATTATGGGATCAAAGGTGACTTAAGGTACTTCCGATTAATTTTGAGTCCCAAATTGCATATGTCATCAAATTTTATACAATTGTGTATGTTTCGTCCTTAGGTTTGGTTTTTATTTCATGGTTTTAAAATGCACTCATTGTAGCCATACAGTAGACATACGTAAAATAATTAAAGAAAATGATCCTTCCTGCCCCAGCCTCACTACCAGCGCTGCCCCCTAGAAGGTGATGTTAATGACCAGGCAATGTTCTTCCAAATATTTTTACTGCATGAGAAGCCGGGCATAATCGATGTAAAAGTTTGGGTGTTAGACACTATTCTCTTGCAGTAAACATCCTAGTTGAGACCAATGAATTTCAGCATAAAGTGTAATGGTTGCATATTTACCTGAAACCTTTGCAACGTTTTAGAGACTCTGTCTGGAATTTGTGGGAGGGTCTTGCTGTAAATCAGAGACCACGGGGAATCAGATGACTAAATAAAGGCTAAAGGCTAGCCTGCGAGTCACGTTCACCTTTTACACCTTCTCTTCTCCTTTTTGGTTTGAATGAAATGTCCAGTGGGAAGGACTGGCCTGACGGTCCCTACTTCCAAGTACTGCCAGACCATAAATGTTACTGACACTGTAGTAATAGGGCTTGAAGCCAGTGAGAGACGAATATTCTGATGCATTTAAATTGCTTTGAGTCTTACATCCTATGGGTGCCATATTTTGAACTTAACAGGTGGTTGTAACATAAATAGCTTTTTCTTTTTAAGAACCCAACAACTTGAGTATTCCACTGCAAACCCCACTAGTGAAGAGCCTTTCCTCATGCTTTGTGTATAATCACAAACAGTTCCCAGTTAGCTTTCCAGTAGCATGCTTTGAGATATGAGCAGAGAGCCTGGCATCATCATACATTGGAGGGTGGTTTCAGTGAGAATGAGACAAGACAAACAAAATGAGAGAAAAAAAAACACAAACAACAAAATCCAGGAAAAGATAATTTGAAGAAAATACAGTCCATTTAGGAAGAAGGAGTTATCATTAATATCTTTGGTGAGCTCATAGAAGAAAGGAAATGCTACAGAAATGAGCTAGAGCTGGTCATGGTGGTTCTTGCCGACAATCCCGGAACTTGGGAGGATGACCCAGCAAGGTCACTTTAAAACAAGGTCTGTCCACACACTGAAACTTTGTCTCAGAAAAGAAAAGAAAAGAAAAGAAAAGGAAAGAAAAATCCTATAGAAAAGAAACCTCCAGGGCTAGCTTTTAGTTCAACATATAAAATGCTTGTCTAGCATGTGTGAAGCCCTAAGTTCAATACCAAGTACTGAAAACAACAACAAAAGAGTCACTCAGAGAACAAAAAGAGTTCGTGGGAAGATTTGTTATGATAGCAGGATGAAAGAGAAGAGCCAGAAAGAAAAGTTGAGGCAATCTATTTTGTAGTAAACCAAAATGACAAACATGAATGCAAGGGAAATAGAAAGAACTACAATAAAACTCTTTCAAAAGGTCTAACATTTACAAAAGAAAGTCCCCAGTAATGATAGAGCAGAGAAAATGGAGGGGATAAAATCAAAGATATCGTTGAAGATGATTGAACTGACTCTACTGAGCCTCTAAGAGTAAAGATAAGAGATTTACTTGTGAGAATATCATTGCAAAGTGTAAAAATTCTCGAGGTAAGGAAAAGTACCCATAAGCTTCCAGCACGAAAAAGAAAAAGGTGTAAAACAAAGGACCAAGAATCGTGACATCAAACTCTCTTCAATAGTGACTCAACAAGTCAGAAGACAATGGATCAATGCCTTAGTATGAAGGCAATTACTTCTGACCTAAGAGTCCACATTCAGTTAAATATTAATGTGTATGCTGCTGGTGAAGGCAAAATATCTTTCCACTAAAGCATTCTCTGACACACAAGTTATTTCCGACCCTCCTTTTCTCAAGAAACTATTAAAAATCATGCTTTCCCCACAGATAGGGAGTGATTCAAGAGAGACAGAGCAATGCATGGAATAAGAGATCCAAGACAGAGGAGAGGACAGGGACATCGCAGAGGTGATGCACTAAGGCTTCCAAGATGACTGAGGGACAGGCAGTACTGAAAGAAAGCAGACCAGTCTGTAAAGGCTAGAGGCTGCAGCAAGGAGGCGGCCATCTCTACACCAGAGCGGCCTACCACTCATGGCTGGGCCTCAGTGCTCTGTTCAACGTCCACAATTTCACAGAACATCGACTTCAGACAAAGGCCCTCTGTGATTTTGATGGAACGAGATGAAAGCAAGACCACTCTATAATTATATTTAATACAAACCAAAAAAAAAAAAAAAAAAGAAAAAGAAAAAAGAAAAGAAAATTGCCCAAGCCACAAAAAATGCTATATATTCTCCACTTACAACCATCTCAGCCAATTACTGCCTTCCTCCATCTAGTCTTTTCTCTTTCAATTACTATCACTTGTTAGGACAACCAGTCAGAATTACTCTCATTTCCTGGCAACAGGTAAAATCATGACAGAGTCTGCTTCCCCAACATATACCACCAGGCCAGATGCTCTAAGTCCTTTCATGTGCCTTCTGCTGAGACTTCCAGAGCTCCTTTTCTCCTTTGTGGAATTGTAAAATAAACACAACTTATTCAACTCTTGGTGTGTTCCTTTGGTTGCTGGTTAGAGGTCATTGGCAAGGATTAAAAGCAATTTCTTCAAGAAAATTAAATGAATAGACTTTCAAATGTATTTCAGTTATTGAGAATGTGAGCAGCTGAGGAGAGTTTCAAGTTAAACTAGTGAGAACATGGAAAGCACGCAAATGTGAATCAGGATGTTCATATAGTCCCAGAAATGTACAATGTGTAGATGAGCTAATGGTTCACTCAGTATCTGACTCAGGTTTATGGAGCGCCAACCTGTTCATAGCAGTGTAACTACCAAATTCTGAAGTATCTGAAATTACATGAGAATATTTGGTGCACAGAGGGGCAAAAATATGTGTGGTATGAATAGGTACCTAAAGAGCATCATCAAATCCTTGTCTTTTACAGTAAAAAATGATAAGATCAGTTGCCAAAACTGATTCTGCCTCCAATTAAACATTATTTATCTATGCTTCTCATGAGGAGACAATATTTTCTAGCATACATTTTCTGACACACAAGTTGTTTTTCACTCTCATTTTCTCAGGGACCTACTAGAAGGCCTGCTTTTCCCCAATCTGGCAGCTGGACTATAAGCATGTTTGTTGCATGAAGAGATGTTGAAAGATTCAGCTGAAGCAATAGCACTGGATTAAGAAGATGACTTGCTTAGGGACAGGGTCTTCTTTCCTTCTGAGTGTGGGTACTCAGTGTTCCAACCTAACATTCAGATGTGCTGTGTTCTAGGCTAAGGAGTATCTTGTATTTAGCCGACCTTTCGATAAGAACAACTTGCAAAGTGACATAAAAGCACGTTTGAAGGAATTAGATTTACAAAGGTAAAGGGAGTGAAGGTCTTCAAAGGCTCTAGCTCCATCTGGGAACAATCAGAGTGTTAGTTCTCACTGGGCCCAGGTAGGACAGTGATGACTGTTCTGCTCTTCACGGTAAACATCAGAAGGAGAAGAACAGTGCAAACCCAGTACTGAGTGACCACAGTGTGAAACCAGAACAGTGAACACTGCTAAATCAAAAAGAAGAGATAAAGGAGAGAAAATAGAACGTAAGCAAATCGGACAAAGAAACCGCTATTGTATGACCATACTTCAAGTCCACCCACAATTGTATTACATGTTAATATTTGAGCGAAACACAAAAATGAAAAGGTGTTATCTTCTCTGGACAGGTTTTAAAAGTATCTGTTGTGTATGAGACACGCATATACGGACACAGACTGAAAGGAAATGGATTCCCAGAACTGGAGCTATGGGTGGTTGTGGACTACCATGTAGGCACTGGGAATCACCCCTTCTCCCCTTATCCTGTGGAACAACAGCAGTGTTCTTAACCACTGAGCCATCATCCTTGAGCCCAGCGATGAGCTTTCTGTGGTTCAGCATTCTGTGGTTGCTGCCACCTCATAGCCCTCCCATGTCATAACATCTGTCCACAATTACCACAGGTGGGGGAAAGAGACAGAAGGCCTCCCGCTGGCAACGGAATATCTTGTCACTTCGTCCCACAATCCACTGGCCTTAACTAGTTGCGTGACTTCTTATATGCAAAGGACAAGCAATGTAAACTTTCTATGAACCCAGAAGAGAGCTAGACAGAGGCGAGGCTCAGGCATATCTACAAGTGTTAGAAATACTTGCTTACTTCTGAGGTCGTGAGCAGCCACAAGGTTCTGGAACATGACAATCATGAAGAGAACGGCTCTGTGTAAATCAGCTGTCTCATCTCAGAAACCTCATCCTGTTTTCACCAAAGAATGCATCGACACAGCCTTCAGCATTGGGCGGAAGCCCTCAGAAGGACCTGCTGCCTTTCCACCAACATGGGGTCATTCAAGACAGCACATGCTGTCTGAGAGAAGTGAGACTCACAGACAGCTGGGGCCAACCCCTGGCAACAGAGGTCATCAGATGATACACTATTATTTCAAGCAGTCGCTGACCAGTCTTCCCGTTTCACCGGCTCACACGTTTCCCTGGCTGTACAGTCACCCTCACCCTGTGGCAAAGAAGTCTGAGGACTCCTAGAGCCTTGCAACCTGGAAAAACAATGAAGTCCAGCAGATGAGGTCAAAGTCAAGCCTCCACTAGATGAGGCTTTGCTGCCAAAGGCTCGTCTTACTAACCTTTTCAAAAAGCCACGTGTGTACAATTCTGCATTTACAGAATGCAGTGTAAATTGCGATGCATTCACACACACAATGTACGCATATACTCATGTACATACATATACATATGGACGTATAAAAGCTGAGATGGCACATTTTCACACCCACCTCCAGGAGAAGCCTTTGATTCATCGCTTGTGTCTGAGTGAGTGCCTCCAAGGACACTTTCAGGAGCTGCTCCGTCTTCTTCAGATTCCGGATATCTCGCTCTTTCTCTCTCTGCTTACGAGAAAGCTCATCATGGTAGTTCTGCTTGTCAAGGAGGCAGTTCCGTAGATTGATATCCAAGATTCCTCTGTTCAGGTCAAGGGCAAAGACGAATGTGACTTGTCTTACACAGTTTTCTAAGCTTATCAAGGACAGAATGCTCAAGTATACACACAGAACTTTTCTCAGATCACGACCACAAATCGTAAGTGATGTCCAGAGTTGCCAGTTTTGTGTGTTGGTATCATTTAAAAGTATAATCTTATGAACTCCCCAAACATAATGATTGGCTGGGAAGACACGGGTCTCAAGTTTCCTTGATATTTACTTAAAGGTAAAAAGTTGGGCTGAGAGTAAAAGTCAGTGGTCGAGCAATCGCCTACCAGGGAAAAGCCCCGGGTTCAACCTCTAGCACTTAAAAAAAGGTCAGGGGCTAGGAGATTCTATAGTTGGTAAAGTGCTTGCCACACAAGCATAGGGTTTAAGCAGCCCCTGTACCCATGTAGCGAGCTGTGAGTGGCAGAACCCAGGTGTAATCCTAGCACTAAGGGGGCTAAGACAGCCAGCTTTCCGGAGCTTGCTAGCCAGCCAGTCAAGCTTAATCAGTGAGTCTAAGGTCCTAATGAGAGGCTGTCTCAAAAGATAAGGTAGGTGACACAGAGGTTGACCTCTGGTCTCTACAGACTGGGGATACGTGTGCATACGCCCATATACTCCAACACACACACACACACACACACACACACACACACACACACACACACACTCAGAAGTAAAATGCTCCAGTATGGGATCATACCATGAAATCTCCCTCATCCAGAAAAAGTTGGGACCATGTCAGAAACATCACTCATTGATCAGCAAATCTCTGAATTACATAGCACATTTCAGTGATATAATTGCCCATAAACTTACAGCAAACAATGGATTTTATTCTTAAATTTGAAACCACAGAATTGGGAAAAGTTACAATGAATGAACAGGAGAAGTACTTTGAAATGTTTTGTTGGTACATTTAATTAACGAGAAAATTGATTTAAAATTCTACAAGTTGCTACTGAACCAGCATACGATCAATTGACGATGTTTTCAATCTGCGAGACTTCACTGATTAAAATTTTGACGTCAGAACATGCAGAAATAAAGGTAACCTTTCAGCTAGCGAGGAAGCTTCACTCTCTTTGGTTAATTCCAGCAGCTTAAGCAGTTGGCTATATTCCCGTTCTCTGACTTCGAGTAAGGTCCGCTTGCCCTCCACTTCCTTCATTAGGTCGTCCTTCTCTTCCACGACAGCATTGGCTTTGTTTTCAATCTTCTTTAAAGATTCATTTAGCTCTTTGACTTCCTGTTCCAAGGTGCTGTTTTTCTTTTCCATCTCTCTGAAAGGAATACACACACAACAGAGAGGTAAGAGGGCTTATTTTGAGTTCATGCTATCTGTACCTATTATCAGGCAAAAACACACTAAGTCATAATTTCATTGATCTTAGAAGCATGTGAAGGTCACAGGTAAGAGGGACTTGGATGTGTGATGATTAGCTTTCTTCATCAACTTGAATCATCTGGGAAGAGAGTCTCAGCAAGGAGACTGTCTACACTGAGTTGGGCCTCGATGTGGAAGATCTTATGAAACAAAATTGATGTGGAAAGAGACAGCCCAATGTGCATGGCACCATTCTTTAGGCAGGCCAGCCATAAATTGTCTAAGAGGGAAAAAATGAAGCTGAGTACATGCTTTCGTTTCTGCTCTTGATAGTGGATGCGTCATGATTAGCTGTTGGGAATTTCAGCCTTGATTTCCACATGATGAGGAACTGTGGAATTGTAACCTGGAATTGTAAGCTGAAATAAACTGCTTTCTCCTCAAAGTTCTTTTCTGTCAGGGTATTTTATCACATTAAAAAAAAAAATGAAGGGAAGCAGAGGCAGGTGGCTCTCTGTGAGTTCAAGGCCAGCCTGGTTTACAAGGCAAGTCGAGGACAGCCAGGGCTACACAGAGAAACCCTGTCTCGAAAAAAAAAAAATGCCAGAATGCCCCTGGGCATTTGCCCAGTCTCTTTTCTTCTCAGACCCTAACCTGTCACCTGTAGTGCTGCTCCTGTCCTGGCTAGCTTCCTGGACCAGACATGACTTTCTTAACTTTGCTTCTGGTGATCTTGGGTTTCAGAATCATAACTGCTCCATTTTCCTACGTTCTTTTAGGAGCACTTACTAGGCTGATCATATTGTTTTTCTAGAATATTTTTATATGGACTACTCTTGAATTTTCTCTTTGATCATTGAAACCCTGAGAGTTTCTCAGTGACCACCACATTCATATCTACTCTGAATGAGGGTAAAATAGGTGCAAAGTGAGGAGCTGGTATCATTTGGGCTGCTGGCTGCCTGAACATCTTTCAGGGCCATGAGAGTCCAAGTTCAAACAGTTAATCACCAGCTCTGACCAAGTTGCTGCAGGTCTCTGTGGAAATATGATGGATAAGTTGGAACAGAACATATGATTCTCATTTGCTATGTTGTTAACTACCCAAATGCATAAAGCCCATATGGGACCAGGATCAGTTATTTCTAAGATTATAATTTCTAGACATTATAACATGTGCGCACATCGTTTGGGAGATGGTGGCCTACGAGGGAGTCAGAATAAAAGTATTAGATCATACATTTTTTTGCGTGTCATTTTTTCTATCTCCTTTGCAATCTGCACAGGAACAGTTTGATGCTGGACCACCTCGTCCTAGTAAAGAAATACAGTCACATTAAGTTATGTCATGAATTAAGCAAACTAAATGAGAGAAAATTAAGTTTTGTAGAATTCTTAACATCTACCCTGTATACTTTATTTCCTCCAGTGTTCACACTGGCCTCAGAAGGTAATTATAGTTGTTACTATCTCAAAAAGGAGGTGAAACCCATAGTTGTCCCACTAAGGTCCCCCCTTTCCCTGGGATGGAAGAGGTGAAAGAAGTATAGGGGAGACTGTGACCAGCAGCTAGCTGATGTAATGACATAGTACTCCATGCTCCTTGGCTTAGCCCCTGGGATTCAATTCAAGATCTAGGCTTCTGTCTAGGGCCAGGCTGAGAGTGGAGTTCTGCTGCAGAACTCCACTCTCAGCCTGGCCCTAGACAGAAGCCTAGCTCACGGTCTTCTATCTCTATCCTGCTTCCCCGGGAGCCATCTAAGGCATCTCCTTCATTAAGGGCCTTAGAGGCTGCTTCTAGGGAGCCCTGTCGACTGTGACAGGAGTCATAAGTGCAGGGCCAAGGTCAGAAGCTAAACCTGTAGGACCTTACATTCCGCCCACTGCACATGTGAATGGAAGGTTCAGCTTTGGCATGGCATTAGGGGTGAGGAGAGAGACCCCTCTTATCTGAGGTGCTCAGTGAATGTTGAGACGTGGAAGCAAGCGTGAGGTGGGAGTTAAACACAGCATTGACAGGGGACGTGCTTCTCTGCAGGCTCTTGCTCCACCCTGGAGCAGAGCCACGCTTCACCAGACTAAAGCTTAGCAAGTTCAGTAAAAAAGTTACAAGTGCTAGCTTCGGTATAGGCCCTTGGAAGAGATTCATGCATGTGATGGAATCGAGGCTGAAGCTCCGTGGAGTTCTTGGCAAAGGAATCTCTTCTTAGTTCCTATCTCCCAGAGTAAGATGGGCATGGGGTGAGCTCTAAAATCTTAGGGGAAAGGGTATCATAAGTATTTTCTAAGCCAATGAATTTGGGGAGATGTTCCCTAAATAACTCTAGGTACTTTAAATTTGTTTTGAGAATTATCATTTTTTTTTTTCAAAATTCAGTTTAATTCAATTCATTACTTCCTAAAACATCAATATGGGTTCTGTGTCACTTTTACAGCAAAAGGAAGAACAGAATCAAGCATACAGGGTTAAGGCAATGCAAACGGATACAAGAGGATTGAAGATTCGGTTCCTTTCAAGGAACCATGCGTGTTTGTGACACTCACTTCAAACGCTGGAGGCCAGCTTGCCAGGGCCAGGCCTTCCAATTAGGACAGGCCTGTCAAGCTTTCACAAGTCTTTCACAAACACCCTTGCGCCCTTTAAGTTCCCAGAAGTTAGGTCGAATTTGACAGTCCTTCATGATGCTCAACCTTTCCTCCTGGGTGAGAGCTTTTTGGGTCACCCCCTTCCCCCGAGCTCTTATAGCCGCACAGACACGGTGCACAAACAATCACGGGGTGTCCACAGCATACCTTTAGGCCAACCTGGTATTCCATCATATCGTCTAGCTCCTTCTGCTCCTTCAGTAATTGCTTCTGCTTAGCTGCCACGTCTTCTCGCAGGTTTTTGATTTCTAGTCTCTTCTGCATCACTTCCTTGCGTAGCTCTTCAGTGCTTTCTCGCAGCAGTTTCATCTTCTTCTCCATTTCCTTTAAAGGTCATGAAAGTTACCAGTGAGATAGTCCAGAGGTGAGCCAGGCTTGGGGGCGCACGCCTGTAAGACCCACACTCGGGAGGCAGAGGCAGGTGGAACTCTGAGAGTTCAAGGCCAGCCTAGACTACAAAGTGAGTCCAGGACAGCCAAGGCTACAACAGAGTAACACTGTCTGGAGAAAAAAAAAAGAAAAAAAGATAGTCCAGGTGAATGACTGTCGACTTAAAAACTAAACTAAAATTATTTACATTCACCATGTTTGTTGCACATGTTTGAAGACTCGTAAGTGATTCCCAGGAAGTTAAGGGGAACTTACTATGTCTGAATCCTTCGGCCACAGCATGGCAATTATACCACATTAACCAACCACGTGACAACTTTGAAGTATTTTTTTTAAATCAAGTGACTCATATTTTAAATGTTTTCTGTGTTAGTTCTCAGTTCATGCTGAAAAGCACTGTGAAAATGTGCATACTGTTTTCTTGTAGCTTTGAGATTTGACGAAGTCAAGTGCAAACAGTCTTTGAATGTCTGTCTTGTGTTTACCCGAGTCAACCATGGCTGCTAACGGGAGGAGGCTCGCGCATGCGCACAGTAGCACTCACGTTGGCTGATGTTCCCTCTGGGCGTCTCTTCCTCAGTGTCTCTATCAGGCTCACAGTGGATTGTGCTTCCTCTGCCCTTCTTATCTGCAGTGGGTCTGACTTACAGATAAAGGCTTTCTTTATACTCAGAAAGGCTATCTGCTGATAAGGACCAAGTGGCTAAATTTATTAGTCTACTCTGAGTTTTCTTTGAGATTCCCATCTACTGCTAGAAACCTAAGTCTGTAACTAAAATTCAAATTGTAACTTCCCCACTGTGGGGTGTGTGTGTGTGTGTGTGTATGAGCACGCACGCTTGACCTTATATATTGCAAATGGTGGTTAGACACTATTTGAGTTGCTTGTTTTGTTGAAATACTGTAACCAAAGAAATTAGGGAAGGCAGGGGTTATTTTGGTATAGTTGGCTGTGATAGGGAGGTCCTGGCAGCAGGAACCTGAGGCACTTGCTCCTCCCCAGACAGGAAGTATAGAACAATGAATGTCAGAGGTCGGCTGGCATCCTCCTTTTTGTTCAGTGCAGGACCTCAGCCCACGAATTGATAGTGCCCACAGTTAAGGATCGCACCCCGGAGACTAAGCTCATCTAGATAATCACCCAAGAGGCTGCCGAGGCTAGCCTCCCAGGCAGGGCTAGGTCTCGTCAGGTTTACAACCACAGATGTGCTTATACAGAATTAACACCATCTTATAAATGCTCAACAAGCTTGTGAGCTGGCCATGGAATCAAACCGCTGACAACACATTGTGAAGATACGATCCTGAAAGTGGAGGCGCTGATTTCTGCTGTAGGTCTCAAAACGTGCCTGTCTGCAATGTGTCTTTGTCATTCTTTCCAGGCAGAGGGCAAGTCTACCTTCTACAGACATGGCCCTGTCCACTGATTTGACTAACTGAATATTACCAACGATTACTTACACAGAAGCTTTGAATGTCCTTTCAAATTGTGATTTGCATGCCTTCATGCTGGAAACCCTTCCACTATCACGAGATCAACTAGTGACATAGGACCTTACACCAACTGACATGCCTGCTGTAGCTCACTTTACCCCAGATAGGCCAGCTCAGACCAAAGGAATGCAGAACTATAGTAGAAATTATTGATGTTTTAAGACACCAACTTTGAGATGACTTGTCATTTTGAGTAAGGATGGCCCCTGTAGGCTCGTAGATTTGAATTCTTGGTCCCTAATTAGTGGAAGTGTTTGGGAAGGATTGGGAGATGTGAACTTGTTAGAGGAGGTGTGTCACTGGGGGTGGGCTTTGAGGTTTTAAAAGCCCGTGCTGTTCCCAGGTAGCACACGCACGCTCTCTGTCTCTCTGTGCATTGCGTTTTGGGATCCACGTAAACTCTCAGCCCCACACATGTGGCGCTCCAGTGCCACACCTGTCTGCCTTCTGTCACAAGAGCCTCCACTCCCTGTGTAACCATGAGCTCAAAATGAAATGCTTTCTTTCTGTGTTGCCTCAGTCACTGTGTGACAGTGATGTATCTTCCTTATGACCAAAACTCTGAGGAGCTTGGAAAGCTCTGAGGGTAGCAATTACAGAGGAGATGTTTTTAAGTGACAAACACAGAAATTTATTTTCTTCTAGGAACGAAGCAGGCACTGTCTGACTAAACACAGCCTAGCACAGATGCCACCAAAGGAAGCCTACAGCCTGCTTCACTGGTACTCATGAGTACGCAGATCTCCTTTGTGCATCTGCAATGATTGTGGGTTTTTGGTGTTCCAAATGCTTCGGGGTGTGGTGTTATTTTTAAAGGGATGTTTGAATACAGCTGCATTGAATAAACGTTAATACTTACTCCTGGCTTGGGTATCTTCTCAAATTCCCTTAATATGAGAGCCTTTTCTTCCCATAGGCTGCCAAAAGAAAAACATCACGTTTGACAGAAAAGCACAAACGCTCCAGCTCTTTCTGTACCAGTGCCTTTCTGATTTCTCTCTCAGCACCATTCCCAGGCTTGTCTGCTCCTATCCTCGTGTCCTCTCTTGATGATGGCTCCGACTCTCCCAGGCTCGCTTAAGTGTTCCTTCCCGCCTCGCGCTCCAGCAGCAGCGTGTGTACACGCTCAACACAGCAGCTCTGTCCTGGAGCAAGGGCATCCCTGTGGACTGAGGCTCTTTCCAGCCAGGCTCTGGGCTGTCCCTCTCCACACGGGTCTGCCCTAAATTACTCCCGGGGCCTTCAGAAGGATTTGCCTTGCTTGCCTCCACCCTTGTCCCTGATAGTCAGCCTTCCTGTGTAACCTCGTAGCACGTAGTAACGTAGTAACGTGTAGCAATGTAAAGACGATCCCAACCACTTTCCTGCTTCACAACATCTAGTTAAACCTGGACCAAGTTGAAACTCTGTGTCATCTGCTTGTCCAGGCTCGCTGCTTGCCACCCTGGGTTCTGGCCAACTTGGTCTTCTTCCTAAATCAGTTCCAACCTCAGGCTCTCTGGCCTGCCTGATGCCTCTACCCGGCTTACTCTGGGTCACAGTACCGACTTTTCTCATCAGTCTTGTTTTACTCTTCTGTGGAGTGCTCCTCCCTGCCTGGTATTTTGCTGTGTGTTATCTCCACGACAGAGACTCTGCTCTGTTTGCACAGGGCTCGGCACTCAACCGTGGCCGGGTTACACTGGATCACTCAGGTTGGTCTAGTTCTTCCTTTCATTATTTGAAATACGTAATTTGTGTACTAAATGAGGGCAAAGAGGTGCCTATAGAAATATAGCTGCCCTTAGAATGACCGATTGCTTCACATTATTTACATCTGAGTTTTAAAAGTTCCATGGAAATCCTGAAGGGGAGACCCTGCAGCTGTTCACAGCTGAGAAGAAGGCCATCCAAGAGCTCCCAAGTTTCATGTGACATTTGCATTCTTCGGGGATGGTATTACAGAGAAAGTCATAGGACACTGCAGAGAGAGTCATAGGTCATTGGAGCAGAAGAAACTTAGCAGAGATCCCTGGAACACGGACAGTCAAGGAAGAAAGGACGTGTTTCAGGTGAAAGAGAAGCTTAGACCAGTGTTGGCTTTTCTCTGACACTGGACTCAAGATCTGGTTATTCCCGGATACCCCTATCCTTGTTTTGTCAACCTGCCTAGGACATTATACCTGGTTGGTTGATTAAAGGCCTGTACCTGGGGTGAACAGAATGGGGCAGGAGGGGCTAAGGTTTCCAGGCTTTAAGAGGACAGAAGTATCATGGGAAAGAGGCAGATGGGAAGAGAGGAGAAAGGAGGACATCAGAGAAGTAATCATACGGGCGGAGAGGAAGGACTCCCATAATGACGTGAAAAGGCTCAGATAGAGAATACAAGCAAGTATCTTGAGATTATGGATGGAAGGTAGCCCAGATGAGGATGATTAATTCGGATGGCATTGGATGGGGGCTGGGAGGCAAATGGTGAGGTTACTGAGACAGCGTGGGTAGAAATATCTGCCCAGACAAAGGTAATAATACAATTATAAAATCAAACAGGTGTCTTAATTGTGATAGAGGGTTAAATAATGCCACTGCAATAATTATAAGGCTAATAATAAATGTTAATTTTTTAATTTACTGTAACAGACCAGGCACCAGGTTTGAATGAATGTTACATGGAGGTACTTGAGAACAATACTTTCAACACTGTTATTATTCCAAATTATTAAAAACTATATAGGAAATCATGAGAACAGTAGGCATTCTTGTCTATACTTCTGCCTCATGGTTATTCAGCCAAGTGCAGACTCTGCCTTTAGCCCCTGTGACAAACACATTCTGTATCTGTCATATCCTTTCTCCTTCCTGAATACAGACGAAGACTACATTTTATAGCTTCCCTTGCATTCGGACTGGGGACAATGAAAGGTGAATACCACTTGTCTTCCCAGCCACACCGAATGAAAGCACATAGTTCGGGGGCTCTGTGACTTTCATTGAACTATGTCAGGACACAGACACATACTCTTATTTTATTTTTTTAAAGGTAGAGTTTCTCTATGTAACCCTGGCTGTCCTGGAACTTGCCACAGAAGCCAGGCTGACCTTGAACTCACAGAGCTCTTCCTTGTGAGTGCTGGGATTGAAGCTATGTGCCAGCACACCAGGACAGAAACCTCATGTCACTCAATGGCCATAGTAATAAGACTCACTATTGCTGCATGGCTTCACTAGAGCCTGGCTTTTCCTTTCTTCTTTCTTTCCTTTCTTCTTTCTTCTTTCTTTCTTTCTTTCTTTCTTTCTTTCTTTCTTTCTTTCTTTCTTTCTTTCTTTCTCCCTTTTCTGTTTCCACATTTCCAGTGATAAGCAACAACTTCCAAGTCAGTATCTCCAGCCTGGAATTTCTTTGGAATGCCACGTTTTCACATTTCAATTCTTGTTAGACAAAGCCAAGCTTTTCCAGGAAAAGCCTGTTTGCTCTCGTCCAAAGCCTCACGTTTTCTGCTCCTTCTCTTTTCCAAGGGCACGGGCTTGGGAGTTGCTCTTGAATCGTCTCCATTTCTTGCCTCTTTCACAGGGTCGGTGCTGTTGCTATTGTCCCGTGGGATTCTAAGGCCCTGTTCGTTTTCATCTTTTCTCTCTGTTTTTTTCAGACAGGATATTTTCTAGCTATCTTTTAGTCACTGACTTTTCCCCCCAGTCTTCTATTCATCCATCTGTTGGTTGTTAATTTTTTTTAGTTACTGTAGCTTTTCAATTTTAAAATTCACACACAGACACCTGAAAGGTATTCTAGTTGGCTGCATCTAAGAATATGTATTTTGCGAATTGCTTTTGTAGTGAAGGTCTGAATCAGCTCGAAACACTTAAACATCATTTGTAGATGTTCTGAGACTTCTGTTGTTTTCCATTAGTCTCGGTGTTTGTAGTTGTTTGTTGGTGCACGCATGTAAAAGCTACTAGAAGATCTTTGTCACATAGTTCAAGAGCCTCCACCACGTAGTGCTGATATCTGTAGTCTCTTCTCAGGCAAGCTGAGGTTTGCCTGGTTCTTCGTGCATGAAAGCTGTTGCATTGCCATGTGATGGGACGAAGGGTGTTACTTGAAGTCCATGAAAATAGTTGATATTTTTGACTATAATAGGCATGGTTCAGTTCAGTTCAGAAAAGCCAGCCAATCTGCTGGCAGCTACAGTTTTAAGATTAATTTAATTTTCAGCACATTTGTGTTACCATTCGGCGCTTTCCTGTGACGACTTGGCTGGTTGCAAAGCTTTTGGCAAGCTGTGTGGGATCAGCTCTATAAATGTGCAGCTTAGGGTGAGGCAGGAAGTTCACGAGCAACTTGGTGGGTTTACGCTTACAAGCTCTTTCCCTGAACCCTTCTCAGAACTTTAGGAATACTCGGATTTCTCCATGTTGATCTTCAGAGTAATCTTGCAGGGGTTTTTACCAGAGTCTGACCAACCTGGGAGAAATAAAACAGCCAACTCCAGTTGGCTCTGACTTTCTGTGTGAAAGCTGGAAAAATAAAATCCCAACTAGAATTGCCTAAGAGGGGATGGAGAGGAGGGAAAGGCAGCTGCAAAGCTCACAGTCTGGGCCCATCAGAGGCCTGACCACAGGACTAGATATGATGCTTCCCTTTCTCTAAATTTTACTATCGCCTTGCTGCAGTCCCATGATTGTCGCTCCTTCCCCACGGTTTAGCATGTCTGGTCAGCAAGAAAACACACGTACAGCACCCAGAATGGACTATGGCAAAAGAATGCATGGATTACCAAGATCGATGTTTAGAACAACTTTAATTACTAGATTAGGAATTCTACTTAATAAATAACACAAGCAGAAGTGGAAAGTCAAGGAAAAAAAAAAAAGAAAACGCTGATGATCAAGAACACTGTAACAAAAACAAAGAATGCCTGTTATGAGAGATTGGCAGAATGGACATGGCTAAGTAGGAACCACGGAGGTTGAGGATATCTCAATAGAAACCTCTAGGAATCAAGAGAAAAGAGAAAAGGATTAAAAAAAACCTAACCCCAGAATATCAAAAGACTTTGGGGCAACTACAGAAGGCTTAATATATATATATATATAATATATATATTATATATAATACCAGAAAGAAAGAAAAAAACCCTAGAAATATTCCAAGCCATAATGACTGGAGATTCCCTTATGTTAAATAGTCATCAAATTACAGACCCAGGAAGCTTGAAGACCCACCAGGTAACATAAATGCTCCTCAAAAACTATCAAACATAAATTACAAAAAAATTAAAGATAAGACAAAAATAATATTGTATAAAATTGGAGGAAAAGCTCATGGAATCTGCAGAGAGGAGAGGGCCAGAACAATAGCTAACACCTCTTAAAGACCATCCAAGCGGTCACACCTCTCAGGAACAGTGTCACAGGCACAGGTGTGTTTCCTAGATGATTTTGAATCCAGTCAAGTTAACAACGAAGATTAGTCATTAAAAATGCTAATCAGTCATATCAATTATCTCCTCTCATGACAATGAAAACACAGATCATGAAAAAGAATAAAAAATTAGATCTCGCTATAGGATGTCTATAAGAAACTCACTTTAAATAGTCATTTTAAAGTTGGGCTTAAGATTTTTTTTCAAATTTGCTCAGCCCAAACTTTAAAACCCAGAAGACTTAACTGTACAATAAGGTTTGAGTGAATGGAGCATTATGACCACTGGTCTCAAGCAGACCCCACTGGTCAGTAGATCCAGGAACAAGGAGCCAAAAGTCTGCACCTGCACATCATGTTTTATTTCTAGGAGTTTTCCCTCGCAATGACGTAGATTCGGGATAGTTTCAGGGTGGGTGTCACACAGAACCTAATACAGATTAGTTGTTCTGAGCACACATTCAAGCTGAGTCTTGCAGTTTTGTAGTTTTGGGTGTTTATGACTCGGCTCTTCGA